GAGGGAAGATGAGGGGGCCAGGGACAGAAGTGAGCGAGGGGAAGGGAAGCGAAGCAGGTCAGGGATGGAGAAGGCAGAAGGGAAGCCAAGGAACAGCACAGGGAGTAGGTGGGGCTGAAGGAGCTAGGACCCCCATGGAGGCACTGTAGGGAGCAGCTATGGGGATGGTGTACGTGCCAGGGGAAAGACTGACACAGGGCAGCTGGGGGAGACATTGGGGGAGCCCGGCCCAGCCCTGAGGAAGATGGGAGGAGCTAGGTGATCTTCCACATTAAAGAAGAGGGTGATTGCTCAGGTGCAGCCCCCTGGACTCCTATGAGCCATCCACCTGGTCTCCCCTGTGGCCTGTTAGAAGAGGCAGGTACACTGGAACAAGCTTAGCCAAGCTTCCTGTCCTTGCAGACTGTTAATAGAGAAGCAAACACCTATTGTCACAAGGGACAGACATGTGGCAAGATGACCACAGGGCTCAGTGTTTCCCTCTCCTGTTGTTGGTGTGGTGAGGAATGGCATCAAACACTCATGTTGATTTTTTTTTTTTTTAGTTTAAGGGCATCAGGTTCTGAGCCAGTCTCTTAGGACACTTTGCAGGGTAGCTTTTGGTCATAAGAAAGCTTTTTACCTTGAAGAGGAAGCATTGAAAAGGTTCTCCTCATTTTGCAGGGATTCAGGTGCGTCACGACCAGGAGAGTGGCTACATGCATCACAAATTTGCTATTGTAGACAAAAAGATGCTCATCACTGGTTCCCTCAACTGGACCACTCAAGCTATCCAGAACAACCGTGAGAACGTGCTGATTGTGGAGGATGCGGAGTATGTGGAGCCATTCCTGGCAGAGTTTGAAAGGATTTGGGAAGAGTACAATCCAGCTAATTACACATTTTTCCCCACTGAAAAGGAACAGAAATGACAGCAGCTTTTTGGAGCTGGAAGGGTCCTTACAGAGACACTTGCTAGAAAAATGCTATTTGTCATTTAATTTTGTTATAGCTACAAAGACTATAGCATCATACAAGGGTGAGGAGTTCTGTACTTTTCAGTGAAAACCTCACTGTGTACTAAATGAAAGTGCATCACTCTAAACTCCTTGGTAAGTAGTGGTGTAGTAGAAGGGCCAGCTGTAGTGCTGGAGTTCAAAAGATAATGGCCACTGCCGTGCACTGGAAGAAGGCAAAGTTTGGAATGTTGAAGAGTACTGGATATTTTGACAGTGAAATAGCCACTTACTGGTTACCCCTAGTGACATTACAGAATGATATACTATTTCTGGTATAGCTGATCCTTGCTGGGAAACTACTTGTTTATTTCATGCATGGCAGTATAAGAGTGCAAATCTTCCTCGTCACTAGTTCTAAAAGAATTGGGTAAAGGGGCTCTGCTCAAAGCTATAATTCACACATGGACTGAACTGGGTATGTTACTTTATTAGGAGTGGAAAGTGTATTAGCCATTTAACCTTTAAAATACGTAAGACAAGGTTTGTTATGGAAAACTTGATTGAGAAGTCAGGAATTTTAACATTTATTTTGAATGTTGATTAGCCTCCCTCTAGTCTGTTCACTTTCTCAGTAGCTGCAGCATAATAGAATCCTAGAAAAAGTGCCCTGGTGGGGCCGGAGAGTAGATATGGCAATCTGCAGAAAAACAAGTCCAGGCTGGCCCTCGTAACAGCCCAGTAGTGTGAGAGAAATACTTGGAGTGCAAAGTGTTGAGAAACTGACTGTAGCGGAGTTGCTGCCTCTCAGGGAAAGGAGCTGCAAAAGGAAACCCCAGTGCACGTAGGGGACAGGCTGCTTGCTCCGTTCCTATACAAGAAAAGCAGCGTAACCCCATCCATATCAATTGCCCAATGTGGCTTGGCACTAGAGAATATAGGACACCACTATTCCCATTTTAATCTTCGAGATAGATTGGCAGTTTTCTAGCTGGGGCAAGTTCTCCCCTGTGCAAGCCTCCCCCGCATTTTCTTGCGGATACTAGGTGTCATGTCCCTGTAGGCTTTTAAAATCATCTGCCTCCCTCCTCCATTTATGGTGGCAGTCTCCTAAATGAAATTCAGAGGTCAGGGTAGATTCTTGACTTCCTGAAAACAAAGCCATTTCATGTCTAGCGGAAAGCAGGTTACTGCTCTTGAAGATGCTGTGACAGGCAACAGAAGCTGTTATGCCTATGCAGGTGTAAGCTCTCCCCTGCTTAATGTACCTGATTCTCCCCTCAGGTTAAGAGGCTAGTTCAGTTTCCATACTCATTACATCCTTGGCTCTTAATGAGAGCTCTTGTGGCGTTGACATAGAATAAGAACGGAACACAGCGATTTGTTTTAGACATATCAGCCTATACACTTGAAACAGGGAGCTGGAATGTCAGAGGGTTCATGTCCTTATGCCACAGTGCTATAAGGAGGGCTTGATTGTAAAACTAACTGCAGCATAAAGTTTGTAAAGCATCAAATCTTGCAGTCCCAGTAACAGCCTTTGCCACATACAGTTCAAGCTGTGGTGTTTGACTCGTTCTTGGTTGTAAAAGACCGTTTCCCTCTTCTCTTCTTGGCTCTTCAAGTTACTGTGGCTATTTTTAGGTCTCACAGTTAACTGTTATTCCACACTTACCACAACTTCAGTTTAGATTGGGCTTCAGAGCTTTACCACTGAACCAGTAATTGTGAAGCTAATTGTGCTTACCCTGGCGAGCCGTGTGCCAAAGGTTGCCAATCCCTGGTCTACCCACTTACTCTTAGTTTGGTCCTTCTAGAGCAGGCTAGGGTACACTGGCAAAGGTCTGGAAGGAATCTGCCACTGCCGATATCCACGCTGTACCAGCTGTAGGCAGTTCTCCACCACAACAGTCAGGAGTATTAGCTTCACAATGCTTTGAACAGCAATGGGTATCTATTAAAGAAAATGTAGATGGTGGTAGGACTGTAGTAAGTGGCTAACTCGAAAGCCTGCGTCTCCTTTCCATGTAGATGACCATGTCCAAACAAGCACCTCACTACACAGCATGCAAAGGGTGGTGCAAAAATAGTTTATTACGATATAGTTTATGTAAAGTTAAGTAATTATATTTACAAAATAAAAATTATCAGCTACATCCATGGGAACCTAGCATGTCACACAAGATTTGTAAGGAATAAATATTGTGACCAAAGTGATGCTTCTATTACAGTGAATAGCGGCTTTTTTTTTAAAGCACTGAAATAAAAGCAAAGGGGGGGGGGAGAAAGAGAGAAAAAAAGATTCCACTCATACTCAGTATCACAGGGGCCTCAAAAGGCGTGTGCATTCACCTTTGCAAGAGGAAATGGATCAGGTCTGACACATCACTCCATTGCTGCGTGAGGTGTGTGGAACCCTCCCCTTATGCACACCATTCAGACCTGCAGCCTGATGGAACACAGCTGCCACTTCTCCCTGGTCACCACCCTTGTTTTGTGTTAGTTCTGAGGCAGGTGCACAAGTCTCTCACCACCACAGTAGCAACCCAGGAAGTAAGTTACACAATCTTCTAGGTTTGATCTGCTGCCATTAACACCATGCAGTCAGGTTGCAGGTTGGACAGGTGGCTCTCTCTGTCTTGCATCATCACAGGAACTGGAGATGTTGTGGTTGACTCTTGGGTGTTCACCATAAACCACAACTAATCATGATTTCTATTTCCATCTCCACCAGGGACTGAAGCTCTTGCAACTCAGCTGGTAGTGGAGGGTGTGTGCATTTGAGTCGGGAACTCATCTCCCTGGACTGGGGCCGCTGATTGAAGGCATGCACAGGACAGAGCTAAGGCAGTCCCTCAATTCTGATTGGGTTGGTGGTGTGAAGTGAGGGTGTCTATTGCCACTTCACAGTTATCATTCAAATACATAGCTTCCCTCTGTTGCCCCCCACCCTCAAAGTTTAAAATCTCAAGTCAACCCAAAACTCCAGGTCCCAAAAGGGTGAATGTGTATCAAAGACTAAATCCTCATCTATTTGCTACAAGTCAAAGTCTTCAGTATTTTACAACATACTTTGCTCTCTAGATTAGAGCAAAGAGTCAGTGTTCCTGCCCCATCCAGCACACGTTCATGTGTAGGGTAGACAGGAAGGGTGATGAAAGAATTGCTTGTGATTGCACTAAACTAATGTCAGTGGCCAGGAGGGTTAGTGCTGTTGGTACCAATTCAAAGGCTAGTCAGGTTTCTGCTAATGCCTGCTGCCCCCTCATTCTCCTCTAGTAGTCTCTTAAAGTGCAGGCTGCAGCAAGTTAAACCACTAGAGCTGACAGCTTTGTTTTCAGCCCTCGTGTCTCTTCAGTGTCCTTCCCCAGTCACACAACAATATTTCTGCAGCCACTTTTAAGAAATGCTCTGTATTACAGTGGTAGGGATCACATCATAAGTGCAACTCAGTAGTAACTACGATGTATTGAAAGTTATATTTTAAACAGTTACTTACATATCATTGTAAGTTACAGTAAACTTCCATGCTGTTGTACAATATGTAACTGCACAGCTAGGAGATAGTTCCCTTGTAAATTCCATGTAGCCTTACAGAGTAGTTTCAATGCTGATGCATAAGTGAGTTAGACAATTATACACTAGGATCCTGGAACCTTAGTTCACTCACTGCAACAGTCCTAAGTTATCGTGCAAGGATATCTGTGTATGCTCTAGTCACACAGTAGTTACTACTTCTATATATAGATAGCAATTTTGCACATTCACAGGGTGTTAATGCCACTATCAAATACAAGATTACTGAATTCTCAATGGAAAAAACAATTTATAGCGCTTTAGGATTAACAGTTCTCAAACAGACTGGACACATTCTTTGGACAGGTATCTTCAAAGCTAAAGGTACAGGTCAGAGAATTTTAAAAGATATTTATAACAGTCATCAAAAAACATTCTAATAAGAGGACACAGGGTAGGTTCAGCATCTTACACTCAAATCTCTTCCAATCCCAAAAGGGACATCTGTATTAGAACAAGATTAAAAAAAAACAAAAAACCCCAAAAAACAGAACTTAGTCACACACACACAAAAACCCTCCGCTAACTTCTGAGTAATAAATATTTACATTGCGTGCTTTGAATACTATACAGGTTTTAAATTATTTTAAAGAGAATAACAAAGCTTTTTTTTTTAAAAAATGGAAAAAATTACAAAGTAAAGGCAAGCTACACTGAGCGTGCATGTGCTTAAGTGTTCACAACAAACTAAGTACTGTATATGAACCACAAAAATGCAAAGGTCTAGTGGAATTCCAATCAAGTATATAGTTGTTACAAAAGTGACACATTTTACAATGCTTAGGACTGCTTAAATGCACTCCATTCAACCGGTTACAGAAAAATAGCCTTGTTGTGTTTTGCACATCAGCACAAATTCTGCTTTTGAAGCAAATGGGAAAAAAAAATTGCTCCCTCTCTTAGATGGATAGGGGGGGGGGAAATCACAGTTAAAAAGGACTTAAATCTAATTGTTTCCAGAAAGAAAAAAAATGGCTGAAAAATTCTCCACAAAAGACAAAACTTTGGAAGCAATTAGAAAGTTTATACGTTTCTACGGCTATTTTGAACTTGGTTTTATTAGACCTCACATTCTCGTACTTTTCATAGTGTAGGACTTTATAAAATGCAGCTGCTTGCAATATATATGTATTCACACACTGTATATACTGTTCCCTTCAGGAGCACTGCAAGCGAGACAGCTACCATGCCAATTTGCCCTGTCGTGTATGAAGGGTGCCTGGAACACAGCCGGAGGAAAAGTGAATTGGAAAATCCTCTGCTGTCTCTCTCTCTCTCTCTCTCACATACACACACACAGGAAGATGCAGATGGAATCAGAAAGTGTCTTGGGCAAAGGGGCACCCTCCTCCTCAGTTCAATCTGAGAAACACGGATTTCTAGCCTCATGGAGAAAGATGAAGCCTGAAGCAGAAGGCAGAACTGGGGTGAACCACAGAACCTTGCACTCAGCTAAGACTTTTTTTTACCTGTGGTAGATCTCTGTGTTTACTGGGGGTGGAGTAGAGGTGAACACACTGCCTAATACTTCGACGACGGCTCCTCCCAGCTCAGGTAGGTGCCCATCAAAACGGCAATGAGGCCTCTGCCAGCACATCAGAGAGAACAGAAGTGCGTGCTTGCGCCACAGCTTTTTTGTTCTTGACCTCTGGAAGTCTCAGTTATTGCAATGTTTATTCCAGTTGGGAGCGCAGCAGTCTGATGGGATGGAGAAGCTGCACAGATGGGCACAGAGCCAGCTGCTCTTCTGCCCCCTTGAACAACTGACTTTAGAGCGCATACCTTGTGCACAGCAGAAAAACATTAAAAACAAAGCTTCAGTCCCTCTTTGGAGATGTGTCTGCTTCAGAACGCACCTGCTCTTACAAGGGTCAGTATATAACAAATGTTTGTACGAGACCCTTTGTTTAGGTGTTAAATAATATTTTAGAACAAGTTCAGCAAAACAAACACTTATTTGGCCTGTTAGAGGTTCTTAGAAGTTTTAAAAATATACACCAAAGGGTGGTCCCAATCACCCCTCCATGCACGGTGTTTATGTCCTCCCCAGAGGAGCTCATTTCTTGTAACACTGGATTTTTGTTTTGGCTACAGCTGGTATCTGTGGCTCCATTTCATCCCAGTGAAACTGCATGTCTAGTTAGCTTTTAAGGGCAGTATGTAGGTCCAGAAAAGTGGGCCAAGATGCATCATCCGAAGATCCCCTGTCACAAACCTTCACTGACAGATCCGTTCCCACAAGTTCAGATTCTGCTGATCCATTAGTCCTGGCACACCTTGAAGCAAATCCTTTTAAGCTGATCCACTGACCCAGGAAGATGGAGGTCACAGGATGACGAGTTTGCAGTAAGGTAGGAAATAAAGATATACCAGCCTTAAAGAAAAAATACCAGCTAGCTTGAACAAACATCTTGCCTAAGTCTGTTACTGGCAGTGTCTCATCCATCATAGTCAGGTCCCAGGACTTTCATAGGACTATGCACATCTCCTCAAGAGAAGAAATTGACATGGGCTATTCAAAGCTTCCCTAATTACAGTCTTTCGCTTGGGGTATGTGCACATGAGAAAGGATAATGGGCTAAGAAACCCATCAAATAAAAGATTCTCTTCCTCTAAGCAGTTTTCTTCTCTGCCTCAGTCCTTGGGACCCTGTACAGGATAATTATGGGACTAGAGCACAAGCAGAAAGCTGTTCAGACCAACCCACTGGATCTACCATTTCTTCAATACCACCTCTTATTACGTGGCTTGCTATTCCACTGGTTTACACGCTTCTCTCCCTGCTCTCCTTTTATACTAGCTACTATCTAAGTGCTTCCACTTTGAAAACATACCACAGTGCCTTTCCCCATGTCCTCACCCATGTACACCATCTGGGTCAAAAGATGGAAAAGACAGGCCCCACTTCAACCACAGTTTTCCCTCTCCACCTCCGCCATATGCATGGCCAAAAACACCACCAAGCTGTCCATCAGCATGCTGCAACCCTTCCTCCAAGCCAGCTCCGCACAGCATCATCCTAATGATATCTACATCTGTGTGGTTACACTTCCTCCTCTACCATTATGAAATCAGGATCTGGATAGATGCAGAGGTTAAAAAAAAAAAGATCCCAATAACTCACTGAGAGTTCCTGGTCCAAGCAGAGAGAGACTGAGCCTCAAGAGAAGAGTGGCTGGATTGGGGAAGTGCACAGCAGAAAAAAGGTGGCTTCAACCCCCTGGGAGCATCACTCTCAGGATCTCTTTGAGGCTCAGTTCAATGAAACTGTACCACAAAGGGCATCAGGCCATGGGTATCTACAGCACCATCCTGTAGCCTCCATCTCCCTGGCATACAACTCGAAATGGAGAAAAGGTGTGTGACCTTCACTTCTCACCCTTAAAGTAACTGATCATAACCCAAAGAAGCGAACAAAGCAGCAGCAATTAGCTCGTTGGGTAGCAAGAAGCTCGGAGCCCAGATGGCCGAAGGGAGAGAGAGAGAGAGAGAAGTGGCTTTTCCAACAGGAGAACAGAACACACCTTGCTCAGGTGATTTAGGAGTAAGAAGCCCTCACCAGACTCCAAGGGAGCACAGGCTGGGGTGTGTCCTCCTTGGAAATGTCACATTCAAGTGGACTCTTGTGAGGTGAGGGAGGAGAAATCCCAACGCTGAAGGACTTCATGCTACCCATGCCTGTGTCCCATAGGCTCCACCATCTGAACGGAGAATTCAGGGTTGGAAAGCTAGCAGAGGGAAGACACCCTCCACCCCCAACCAGGCGGGGATGGAGCATAAGAACAAAGGGATGTTCTCTTCTGGTGGTTGCTGATGTGAGAAGACCAGGAAAGGTCAAGGACGGAGCAAGCTGGGTCTGCATGTGGAGGGCCCCATGGTATAGGGAACACAGCAGGTGAGCAACCCCTCCCCTGGCAGTATCTAGAGCCAGATGCAACCTGTGTCACAGCACCAACATCCCCACTGGCCTGCGAGACATGTCCCCTCAGAGCTTGTGGGGCTCCAGAGTTCAGCCCAAAGACCACATTGCCCTTGGCTGCTTGTAGCTCCCACTGAAGTCACCCCTTCCCCAGCTCCATCAGAGTTTGGCCCTCAAGTGTTCATCCTGGGCCTGGTTTTGATCTCATGGTGGTGAGAATGAGGAACCACATTGAAGCCAATGGAGCTACAGGGATAAGCGGAAGCTGAATCAGGCAGAGAGCTTTGACATCTTCCAAGAACAGAATGAGCAGAATCTACCAGTAACATGCTCAGGCCCTGCAGAGTGGGTCAGAATTTGGGGCAGGGAGGGAATGCTTCCTCTGACTAAACAGCGTCCCCTCTGGCTGATTAAAGAACACTGAGGGAGGGAGTCACATTTAGGCCTCCTCGGCTGGAAGGCAGACCACCGCCATGGCCACTGGAGGTTGGGGGGACCCATTACTTAGCATCACCAATACAGTCACTAGTGTGAGGGGTTTCAGCAATGCGGCTCTGGGTGAAATTTGAGAGCAGGGTTGGGGAGGTGATGGGACTTATTTAAACAGCCCCCAGCCACCAACTAAGCTGAGAAAATGTGCTTTTTGGGTATCTGTGGGGGACACAAGCAGCTCCTCTCACCAGGAAGGCAGAGCTAAGAGGCCTGTCGAGAATCACCAAGTCCCAAGCTGGCGGCAGCCATCTTGGCAAGGCGGGAGATCCTTGGGGACCGAGGCAACATGGGTGGCCGACGGGAGAGACCAGAAATGAGTTTCAAACCTGCTTTAGCCAGTGGTTCCACAGTCACAAAGGAAAGTCAGGTGGATTGTCCAACCATTGTCAAAGCAGACTAGAAACTCCCCCATTGGCCTGGCATGCTACCAGGGTCAGGCATGGCCGCCACTCTGCACAAGCCTTCCAGACTACACTGAGCATTCCTGGGGCAAAGGGCATCAGAGTGCTGGGCAGCGCTCATGAGGGGCACTACCCCTTAACCAAGCTGGCCAAACAAGCACAGCTAGCGAGGAGCCATGTTTAGACACAATTTGAGAGAGGCAGTAGCCTGGCTCCCTACAGAGTCAAGGGCACAGTCCAATGTGATTTAGGCCTGTCCACACTAGATAGCCAAGCTCAGTTAGAAACTGCTCGTGTTGGAACAGGCCCTAGTCTCAGAGTTGAGGCAGGAGTTGTCTTGTCAATCAGTGATGCAGGGTACAGAAGCAAGGAGGCGTACAGGGGAGAAAGTATGTGCTTGCTGTTGCTAGCACGGCCGTAGCCACTGCGGAGATGAGCGAGGACCTACAGGACGAGAGATACTCTCTCCCCCCCGCCTTTGCCAAGCTACACTGGTTTAATGCTGCACCTCCACCGCTGGATTCCCGCAATTCCCTCACTCACTTTTACTTCACTCCAGTGGTCTCATGCTGCGCAGTGTTGCTAAATGGACTTTTAAGAGTGATCCTCATTCAGGAGCTGGGAGCAGGCAGGAAGCTGTCCTGGGAAGCTGCAATATGGGTGGTCTGGAGAACAGGCGAGTTCTGAGACTCGTACTTTGGAGAAGAGCTTTGAAAAGTAAAATGTAGCCATAGATAAAAGTATTAAAACCGGAGCTGTTGGCTGGTGAGAGGAGCTGAAATCAGGGAGCTGCCTTTGGACTGAGCTGTGTGTGTTCGCAGCCAGCGTGGGCTCTGTCTTCCCCCCTCAGAACGGGGCAGGGAAGCTCTCACACCCAGTGGTTGATGGGAAGAAGGGGAGAGTGGCTGGAGGGGGCTGGCTGTAGCTGGGATGGATTTGGGTAGACAGGCCCTGCAGCTCGGTCCCTGGAAGCACATTACTCAGGGCACGGGCATGATAGGAAGAGAGGAGATGGGCCTTCGGGGCAGGTTTTGTTGAAATCTGCGTTTAACTAACATCTGTAACGCTCTGGCTGTAACAGCCTGAAAACAAGCCAAGGCCGAGACCTGCTGGGGCTGTGGGTTGGGAGAACGGAGCCCAAACCCTGGCCACCCTCCCAGCAGACTCCCCTCATTTTTCTCCGGCAGCTGGCGGGCTGTTGGTGCTGTGACCCAAGCACACACCTGATGGATGGGGCTGCTTCCGACACAAACGGACCTGCCTTTCCTGACGTTTTGACCACAGGCTTTTCCCCGGAGGTGCAAGGAACGCAAGCTCAGAGGACGGGCTCACGGTGTGTGACTGAGCACCGGGGTCACTCAAACAGCTGTAGCGCTGGGTCTGGCCTATGCCAGCCAGGCCATTCTAAACCAAAGCAGTCGGTATGACAGAGCTAGCTTATCGATAGGCTGCTGAGCCTTAATACTGACACTTAGTGTAATGGTTTACAGTGAAGGAAGGAGCCAAAGGGGGCAGAACTCCATCCCCTCCTCTCCCTCGCGGAGTCTCTGAAGCATCTCGCGATGCGGGGAAAGGAGCTGTGGAGTCAAGGTGCCAGGGGCGGGAAGAACCGCCAGCCGCACTCAGTCCGATCGGGAGCATCGAGACGAACAACAGCACAGAGGATCATAAGGAACTAGGAACACGCGGTGCTCGTGCCGTGCGATCGCAAGCTGGGAGGTGTTCAAGCTGAAGGGGGAGAACTAGTCTTTCTTCAAGTCCCTGGATTCAAAGAGCTTCAAGCGTTCTTGCACGGTCAGGCCTTCCTTCAGACTCTGGGAGAGACAAGAGAGGGACAGCGTCACAACACTGAAGGAGGCGGCGGCGACAGCAGCCAACAGGAGGATGGGGCAGATGCTCAGGCAAAGGGAATGCAGGTAGGAGAGCAAACGCCCCCCTGAAGGAGAGATTAGTGGAACATGCTGGAGAGAACAGACCATTATGGAATGTTATTATTGGTGAATCACACCTAGAGCGCGCGATTGGAAATTAACCAGGTGACGAACTTCAGAAACAAATGGCATGCGTCTGACAAAGTGGGTATTCACCCACGAAAGCTTATGCTCCAACACATCTGTTAGTCTTAAAGGTGCCACAGGACTCTGTTGCTAGAAACAAATGAGACACACACAAGATCGCAAGCGTGATTAGCTTGACTCTGACAACGATCCCTGCAGCTTGCAGTATACAGAGCACCAGGGCAGCTATAGCAACAGGCCCGTGGCTTTCCGAAGGGCCAAAGCAGCACACCTTGGTTCTGCTGACAGCAATTGCTACGGCGGGCTCAGAGGGACCAGCACACTGGTTCTCCTACGGGGCTCATTAAAAGCCCATTTTGGGTGGTCGTGGCTCCAAACATGTCGCAAGCTTTGTCCACGCAGCCCTGAGAGACAATCTCACTCCACCCTCAGTTAACCTAGGCTGGGGACCTTTTCCAAGCACACACTGCCAGTTAAGCCCCTGCGCTGGACTGTGGATCTCATGACGTGTTTCCTATAGTTGGTCCTAGCCGGGGACCAAACTCATGACCCGATCCAGATTTTAAACCCATGTCTTCAGAAGTGAAAGCAACTTCCATCCATCTAGCTCTCAGCACTGCCATTTGGGAGTCAGGCCTCTCCCGCCCACATGGAATCTGGGGGAGAAGGACACAAGTGGCTGCAGGATTTATTGCTAATCCCCACCTCCCAGTTGTGTGGTGAAATCCCCATGCTTAGTGCATTTGGGACCGAGCAGATCTGAGCACAGACACTAGGTCAAGGCCATAGGTGCACTCTGCGGTGCCAGTGGATATTCCGCCCCAGCAGACCGCTTTCCCCGGATCAAGCATGCAATGGCTGTGCACTGCATAGGTGCAGAAGATAAAATCTACTGCCATCCCAGGGGGGCGACTGCTTTCCCTGCTGTGAAACAGGATGTGCCCAGCTGATCAAAAACAGGCAGCCAGTCGGCCGACATGTTTGGCAATTTGCAGGCAGCAGAGTCAGCTGTGAGGCAGTTCACTCTACGTCCTCTGCACAATCACGTCAGCGTCTGATACTTGCTCTACAAATCAACACAGGGCAGCTCTGCAAGACACGGAGCTTTATACACAGACCCTGTCAGGCAGCTGGCTGCAATGTTCCCATTTTCTTTTAAGTCCCTTGGTTGCCGTATCAGAAGACTAAAAGCACAGTGCTAAGTCACGTAGGCCCCAAAGCCAAGTTTTCGGTTAACAAGCGGCTATTGGGGGAGGTTGAGGTTGCAAAGCCCAGTGGGAATAGGATGGCTGCGATACTGTGAAGACACTGTGGTGACCATTGCATTTCTGCTGGTTTCACAGCTCAGGCTGAGAGAAACATAACTCCGTTATCAATGGAGAGCAGGAATTGGGATTTTGACACCAGTTTAAATAGTGTTGTTGCTCTCTTTTTAGCTGACAGAAGAGAAACATTCAAAATTCAGGTTTCAGAGTAGCAGCCGTGTTAGTCTGTATCCGCAAAAAGAACAGGAGTACTTGTGGCACCTTAAAGACTAACGGAATTATTTAAATAAATTCATTAGTCTCTAAGGTGCCACAAGTACTCCTGTTCTTTATTCAAAATTCAGGACGGTCTCTACCTATCAGAAAGTAGGTCAAATATTGAGCCTATTCAAATTAACAGAGTCCCTTTAAATTCCAGCCTGAACCTTTGAATTCTCTCATCTCTTTATAGATCAAGACACCGGAATGCATGAGACTACACTGCCAAGCGTAGAAAGCCAAGCAAACCCCTCCCTCAGTAAGGGAGTCTCTGAGATCACTTAGTGCAGAGTTCAGTTTGTAATAAAGACACCTTCATTCAAAATTTCCACCAACCCACAGAATTCCTTGATCAGCCTTTTCAAAACCTCTCCCCTTAACCCCATTGGAAACCAATCCCGTTTCCTCCCAGGGAGTATCCCACTCTCGGAGCCCTTGCCACTTTCTGTTGCTGCTGGTTACCCAAGACATGCTAATTGGAATGGCCCCCTTTCTCATCAGCTGCCTCCTCCTCCCAGATGATCTTGGAAGCCACAGGGCAGTGTCTGTGCTAGGACAGTTGTTAATGAGGTAATGAACTGTAGTATCACAACCACTGGGTAGCTGGAGCATTGCTGGGCAGCAGGAGGAAGAGGATGCTCCGCCAGGAGGAAACTCCTGTGCTCAGGTACAGATCATCTAAGGAAGCAGCGACGATGGGCATCGTAAACACAGGGCAGTGGTGTCTGTGCTGCCACCCTGGTGGGAGATTCAGGGTAGCTCCACTGGCCTCTTCCTTTCCATCACTTCTAGCTGCTCTTCAGAGGTAAGGGAGAGTTCCTAGACTTCGCCCAGCCCAACACTAATGAAACCAAGGTTCCCTTCTTCCTGCAAGGACTGCATGTCGAAGTGAGTTTAGTGTGAGGCATGCACAGTCATTAAGCATGCACACTCGGTGTCCCACCCCCCCGACACAGCATGCCCAAGAGGTGCGCACACCCTCCCAGTGACGGACCTCTGTGCCGGGGAGAGTGGGTGGGTGAGAAAGCCAAATTCCCCAGGGAAGAGCAAAACTGGTTGATTTCATTTTAGGATAATCTGCTCCCCCGCCCCGAAGATCAATTTCAAATCAGTAATTAAGAGAAGGTTCTCGTTTGCCATGGAGGAGTGAGCAGGGCATGCAAAGTGGGCCGCCCCCTCGGGGAGCTGCATTGTTTGGTGGGTGCTGGTTTGGTTACCTACGTGACAGGGAACCTGGACTCTTGTTCATTTCAGTTATCCCATGAGACCTGCTCAATAACGGACTGTCAGAGGAAAAAGCAAAATAAAGAAGAAAAAAAACAGAAACAGAAAACAAGAAGCACATAAATCCTAATTGCATCGATGGTTCCCCAGCCCCAGCCCCTCCTCCCCCCCCTTAGCGGGACAAGGGGACAGAGTGCCCATCAGCACCGTCCACACTGCCCTCTGCCTCCCTCCCCCAAGCACACCAAATAAACACGGACACAGACACAGAGGGGATGACAAAATAAGCAAACTGAGGGGAAGGGAAACTGGTCATCAGACCCTCAAGAGCCAGTTTGCAAACCAGCACCTCAGCTGCACCTTTCAATATGCACAGGCACTCCCTGTACTTATGAGAGGGGGATCTGTGCACACAAACCGGGCCTAGCGAGCACAAGCACAGGGTTTTGCATGTGCGAGCCTGAATGGTGTACACACTGGGGGCACCTGTGCATTTGGTTCTAGCAGCTTAGTCACCACCGCAGGTGGAAATGGCAGCCTTGGAGAGCTTGGGCGGTGAGTTGGGAGAAGATGGAGCTAGAACGCTTGGCCTGGCTTCTCACTCCGTCGACAGCAGCCCAATATCAGCACGAGGTGCTCAGTATCACAGGTGAGAGGGGAGGCAGGCCTGGGCTATGCTGGGAGAGCTCTTCTGTGTGATTGCCCCGTACACTCAGCCTAGGCTGGTTGGAGAAGTTCTCTTTTGCCTACATGGAGAGGATTAATGCCCTGAAGGGTGGAATCCCGACAGCTGGCAGGCCAAACCCTGGGGACATGTGACTGCAATAACTGGATTTGGGATATGCAACAAGTACAGCATGGCCAGGCTTTAAAGCACTGAGAACCATTGGGCCATCAGCCCCAATCTCCCCAGGTAAAAGCAAATGTTAGGTAAGAACTATCCCCGTTCCATTTTCAGATCAAAGAGGCTGCAGTGAATTACACTGTATTATCTCCAAGGTACCCATCACGACGGTATCTAGGCGCGCTTACACCAGTTACTTCACCGCCAAACCTCACCACAAAAATGGAGAGTAAGTGCCAGAGGGGATCCTCCTGGGAAATGCCTGAGAACCAGGGCCACCTCCCTGTTTTTTCCGATAGCAACTCCAGTAGCTATGCATGTCAGTGTCACACTGAGATTTCAGCAGCACAGGGCCCCCGGACGAGGCAAGGGGACCAGCTCTGCAAAGAGACACTCAGTGCAACAAGTCTCCGCAGAGCACTGCAGGCTGGGAATTTGCTGCTTTATTCCACTGCATCACAGCAGAGTGGGGGGAAACCCCATCTGACTGAACAGGAATAAGGGGGGGGGGGAGAGAGCATGGCTCCATCCCATAATACTCTGGGTAACTCAATTAACCCCATCATGACCACTCTCCTGCAACTGTGAGTGGGAGGGGGAGGAGGCTGACTTGCCACTACACCAGTGTAACTGCTCTTCCAACGACCTGGCCGGTACGAGGGTACACACTGATGCAAACACAAAGACCCGCAGTAAGGATGGGAAAATCCTCCTGCCTCATCCCCCTGCCAATCAGCCTCAGTTTTCTCTGTTCCTTGGGCAGTCTCCCCAGAAACCCCCACTAGAGAGCTGTGTGGGGCATTCACATCACCTGGGCAGAGAGAAACACACTCACCTTTGACCTGATATTCCTTAGTTGCCGGCTAACACTGGATCTGTCTTTCTTCAAGAAGTCAGGGTTGCTTTTTGATTTCATGATATCTGGGGAGAGCAAAGGAAGCAGCATGAGCTGCTGAGTCCTGACTCTGTCACACGGGAGAGCAGAGGCTGGGGACACATCAGCCAGCAGTAGGCTCAGTCTGGGCAAAGCTTCCCAGGAGGTGACTCAGAAGAGGGCAGCCACGGCCCTACAGAGCCACCGGGACAGCACAAGCGACGCATGGCCTCTCACCCAGTTACGGCATGAGGCAAGAGGCCCCAGGATGCAAAGTGACATCCCTGGGTGACTGGGGCACGGGTGGATTCCAAAGACCCAGTGGAAGCTTCCATCCCTAAGCTGAAAGCGCCACTAAGGGTGAGAGGGGAGTTCAGGCTCCAGGGACGTTCAATCCTTGGACTCTGCAAGAGGATGGGGGACAGGGACAGTCTGGAACAGGAAAGAGGTTGCAATGAGGACACTTGCCTGTTATTAAGGAACTAGACGGAGATCCCGCTCCCCCCAACTCTGACAGGCCACCCAACAGCTAACTTCTAATCACTACCAACCTGGGGCACATTCCACCAGACCACCTGGAGGTGAACAGCTCCCAACCTCACGAACAATCTCCTGAGCCAGGCAGCCCACGCACAATCTGGGCCATCTTCCTCCCTGGTGTTACTCCAGTAAATTAAGTGGTGCGACAGGAGGGAGAAATACAGCCCCGTTTGTTTGAATCTCCCAGCATTCACCATGGATATACTGGAGCTCCTGCAGGACCCTACCATGCCCTGCTCTCGGCCCTCTAGGCTCCATCCTACTAGAACTGGTACCACCTGCTGCATGTGTTGGGGCAGGAAACAAGGGTGCTCAGCACAGCAGAGGAACTGACCGTATCCCGACACAGTGGTATTCTCAGGGGATTTCTCGCCCAGCGCTTCTGTGGCTGCCTTCAGCTGCTCTTTCAACCTGCTGATGTCGCAGTCTGCCTTGGCCTTCACGATGCTCAGCTCCGTGTAGATGTCTTTGTACTTGTCACTGGCGTATTTCTTATCCTGGGAAAGGACCAAGGAAAACCCGCAGGGTTGTCACAGAGTGAGACGGGGACACAGAACCAGAACTGTGTGCTTACTAGAGGGTGATGTGGCAAACCCCAGCAACACAGGAAACAGCATTCTGGGACAGATCCAGGAACTCCCAGCACTTCCACAGAGAGCTTCTTGGGGACAGCCTGGGCAGAACTCAGATCATCCTGCTAAAAGCACACTTACTGCCAATCCACGTGTGCTAAAGGAGAGTTCCCTTTGGCTAACAGCTCTACAAGGATCTAGGAGACACAGCTGGGCAGTTCAGATTCCATCCAGTAGAGAGCAGTGCTACACACACACATCAGCTAGTTTGTTACAGAATTTATTGTTGGTGGCTTTCTGTTTAAATCAGGAAAACGGCATGGAATTAAAATGCTGAGAACCTGCCTTGGCAAATTAACCACCCAGAGCAATTGTGATCGGCCCATTCGCAGGGTCTGTGTGTTTGACAAAAACATTTAAGGTAACATCTTTCCAGGAAGAGACCAAAGCGAATCCTGGTTTGATGCTACCAGATGCTTCATTTGCAGCACAAAGACGATAACCCACAACCAGTAAGTGGCTGTGTTAATTAAGGCAGATCAGTGTTTAAATGCTGATTCGACTCTTAAAATAACTTAGTTAACCCCCCTGAAAATGAGCAAACCCGTACAGGACAGAGGGCCCCCTATGTGCGCGTTCAGAGATGGCCCTGCCCCAGGCATTACCCGCAGTGCCGTCTGCAACTCATCCTTGAGGGAGCTGATCTCCTGCTTCAGGTACTGGATTTCTGATTCCTTGACCCGTAATAGGACCTGTGGGGAAAAAGGGACCAGGCATTTTCACTCAGTAACATGGACACGGACACGGACACGGACACGGGACACAGCAAGACACAGCTTCACATGTAATGAGGAGCCCATTGGGCCTGGCCAGCTAATAACTGAGGGAGTAGGTCATAAGTAACACTCAGCATGGCTCTGTCAAGAACACATTGTGTCAAACCAACCTAGTAGCTTTCTTTGACAGCATAACAAGCCTTGTGGATGGGGGGGAAGCGGTAGATGTGGTATATCTTGACTTTAGTAAGGTTTTTGATACTGTCTCGCATGACCTTCTCATAAACAAACTAGGGAAATACAACCTAGATGGAGCTACTATAAGGGGGTTGGAAAACTGTTCCCAAAGAGTAGTGATCAGTGGTTCATAGACAAGCTGAAAGGGCATAACGAGTGGAGTCCTGTGGGGGATCAGTTCTGCATCCAGTTCTATTCAGTATCTTCATCAATGATTTAGATAATGGCACAGAGAGTACACTTATAAACTTTGCGGATGATACCAAGCTGGGAGGAGTTGTAAGTGCTTTGGAGGATAGGATTAACATTCAAAATGTTCTGGACAAACTGGAGAAATGATCTGAAGAAAATAGGATGAAATTCAATAAGGACAAATGCAAAGTACTCCACTTAGGAAGGAACAATCAGTTGCACACATACAAAATGGGAAATGACTGCCTAGGAAGGAGTACTGCAGGAAAGGATCTGGGGGTCATAGTGGACCAGAAGCTAAATATGAGTCAACAGTGTAATGCTGTTGCAAAAAAAGCAAACATCACTCTGGGATGTATTAGCAGGAGTGTTGTAAGCAAAACACAAGTAGTAATTCTTTGGCTCTACTCTGCACTAATTAGGCCTCAGCTGGAGTATTGCGTCCAGTTCTGGGCGCCACATTTCAGGAAAGATATAGACAAACTGGAGAAAGTTCAGAGAAAAGCAACAAAAATGATTAAAGGTCTAGAAAACATGACCTATGAGGAAAGATTGAAAAAATCGGGTTTGTTTCAGTCTGTAGAAAAGAAGACTGAGAGTGAACATATCAGTTGTTAAGTACATAAAAGGTTGTTACAAGGAGGAGGGAGAAAAATTGTTCTTAACCTCTGAGGATAGGACAAGAAGCAATGGGCTTAAATTGCAGCAAGGGCGGGTTAGGTTGGACTTTAGGAAGAACTTCCTAACTGTCAGGGTGGTTAAGCACTGGAATAAATTGATTAGAGAGATGTGGAATCTCCATCATTGGAGATTTTTAAGGGCAGGTTAGCAAAACACCTGTTAGGGATGGTCTAGATGATACCTAGTCCTGCCTTGAGTGCTGGGGACTGGACTAGATGACCTCTCGAGGTCCCTTCCAGTCCTACAAGCCTATGGTAGTTCAGACCAGACTGTTCTTTGGGGCGGTTCAAAGATGGTGCCCACTTGTGGAGAGAAAGCTGTGCCCAGGGTTTGCGCTGACAATGAGGTGCGCTCGCACATGCTCACATCAACACATTTCACGTGCCTCTATCAAAACCCCAGCCCCAATGCATCATAAGCATTATCCCCACATTAGGGCTGGAAAATAGAGTAGAGGTTAGATGACGTTTCTAAGGCTAGCAGAGGAACCAGAGGAAGAAGTGGGATTAGAATCCAGGAGCTCATGAACCAGGCGGGGATCAGGGTCTACACTACAGGGTGCTCCTTGCCCATCTACAGCTGGGACCATCTGCAATCCCATTGGTCATCAGAGACCAGCTTCTCTGTGGCTACCTCCCTGTCCTCTCCAGCTGCTAGTAGCAAAGGGGGCAGGACACTTACCTCTAACTCATAGGCATCCTTGCCCTGCGTGAGAGGCGAGCCAGCAGCCTCTCCCCCTCCCTCCCCGGTCCGTAACCGTGTGATCTCCACAGCCAGGCGGTTATTCAGCTCCTGGGAAGAGGGGAGAGAGTCACTGAGTGAGCAGAGGGAATACAGGATTTCCCTAGCCACTGCTGTAGTGGGTTGTTTTGTCTCCAGTTGCCTTGCAAGGCTCCCTCTGTGGGGCTCCCCATGCATTCAGCCCCATCTGAGCTACACAGCATTGCACTGGGGAGACAGCTGGAGGAATGCAGACACCATGCAGGTCCTGGGGGCAGGGCTGGGAGAGCTCCCCTGCCTTTGGGCTGCCATGGTGCTAACATTGCTTTAGGCCAGGACAGCAGAGCAGGCACCGCCAGTGCAGATCAGCTGGCCGGCCTTGCCTCCAACTTCTCTTCCCATAGGAGAAGCCACCCACTGCCCTAGAAAATCCCACTGAAACCTGAGTGGCCAGGCAAGGAGCTCTGGGGCAGCTGGTGCCTCACCTGATTGTGTGCATTGAGCTCCTGGTTCTCTCGCTGGCACTGGCGGAGGGCCTGCCTCTCAGCCTCCAGGGCCTGGGCCAAATGAGCGTTCTCCAAGCACTTCTGGGAGTACTGCTCCGAAAGGACTTCCAGTTCCCGCTGGACCGACTGCAGCTCCTCCCTGCAGAGGGGCAAAGCCAAGAGACAGATGGGCTGGGGCCATGTCCACGGCTTTCCACCGATGAAGGGGGCATTTCACAGCCCAAGGTTAGCAGGACATCTGCTTGGGGGGTGAGGGAGACACTCCGCTTTTGGAAGAATCCCAGGAGGCCAACTATCCTCCTTTCCTCTTGAAACCCTTGCCCCTGCCCCAGAAGGGACCTCTGGCACCTGCAATGGAGGCACTTCAACCTTTCAGGTACTTCCTTTGATCACTTAACATTTTCTCTTTGAGAGTATGTGTGGGTGGACCGGGCTGAGCACAGATGTGTTATACATGGGCATAAAGCCTAGTGAAGCAGCTCTGTTCTTCCTCTAACTCCCCTACGAACACAGATTTGGTTCTCGCTGAAGGCTAGGGCTTTTGCCTTGTGCAAACAGATTTGATTGAGCAGTACAAAAAGTTCCAGCGGCATGGAAACCACCACCATGCATCTGCACACTACGGTGACGATCACGAAGAGAATGCTGCAGATACAGGTATCTGGAGACTGAAAATTTCAAGATTTCTGGGAGCCTACAACAGGGATGGCAGGGGCTGCAGGTTAGGATTGAGGAGCACTAGCAGAGCGGTGTGGAGGTCCGCGACAGGGCACAGGTTAGGCTGGAGGGGCACTGAGAAAAGCTTCCACATTACCTTCTATAACAACAGGTCTAACTCTAGCTGAATGCCTCACTTCCAAGAGGAGTAAAAATCTGTCCTGTGAGTCAAGCTAACGTAGAGCATTAGCAGCACATCGTGTGCGGGGGGGGACGGGGGGGCGCGGCGGAGGGGGAGGGGAGAGGTCGTGGGAGAGAGAGAGAGAAACGTACAAGTACTGCTTCCTGAGGGCCTCAATATCCGAGTTGACACTGCTGATCTGGGAGCGCTGGGTCTTCTCCAGCTCCCTCTCCAGCTCCTCGCGGTGGGCGTTCTTCATGGCTTCGATGGCTGCACAGGACAGAAAGAGGATTAATGCTCTGCAGGAGGAGATGCATTTATCACTTGGTCCAAAGGTTCCCCCCCCCCCCCCCCAAAACGTGAGTCACCTTGGTAAGTCATTTTCCTGCTTCACAATCACTTTATTACGTGGCACTGGCCATAAAGCAGTGAAAGGGCTTCTGCAAATCTTGCTTTTTAATAAAGTTCAACAATTGCCTGATTCACAGTTTATTTCCTGAGTTATGGGACTCCGAATGCACAAGGCCTGGGCTCCGGCATTTTATATTCTCACGGGCACTGAAGAATGAAGTCACTGTGGAATCGGTAATAAATTAGCCCCAGCAATGAGTAATGCCTCCCTCAGATGGAGCGAAAAACTGACTGGGCTACATCATCGCCAAGGAGAGGAACATCAGAACAGGACAAGAGACGGGAGGTGGCTCTCCATCAATTCCCCCCTCCCCTGCCCCATCAGCCCTTGCCCCTCACCCAACTGTGCCCCAGAACCCTTGCACCCTCCCCCAATTATATTCCACGGCCCATGCTCCCTCCACCCACCCTGCTCTCCCATTGTCAGACTGGAGACTAGCCCTTGTGCTCTTCACTGATCATGCAGCACTTTCTGTCCACCCTGCCTTGCGCTGAGTGCTCCATCCACCCCTCCCCCCCTTTCCTCATGCACACAGCTGAGGGGACCTTCTCCTCCCCTCAATGTCACACAGATCAGTGGCGCAAGTGCTCTGCTGGGGCCTTACCCGAGATGGTAGCGGCTGTTTCTTCCGCTAGCAGGCGATCTTTCTCCTCCCGCAGTTTCTCCAGTTCCCGCTGGTGCTGCCTCTGCAGATCCTCAATCTTCTTCTGATGCGTCTCTTCCATGGCCGCAAACCCACGTTCACATGTCGCCTGCAAAATGGAAGAGGAGCCGAAATTTACCTTCTTAACAAGGTCGGGAGCGACGCCATCTCAGGCAAAGTGCCTGCAGTGAACACACACACTGCCCAATAGCCTGAGAGGGGAACACAACGCGGATCAGCCAACAGATGGACACACAGATAATGGATAAGTAAGCGCGTAGTAGGGGCTAGCCCTGCCTTAGCCATGGGGCAGGGACTGGCGAATCAAGGGGGTCTTTCCCATCTCTAACGCTATTAGGCAAGGAATGGCCCAACAGCTGGCCATGGGGGGAAAACTCCATTTTCAAGATTGCACCAAGGGCCTGATCCAAAGCCCACTGGAGTGAATGGAAAGACTAGCCTGGACTTCAGTGGGGTTGGCATCAGGCCCTAAATGGGGGAAGGAAAATGTATTTAACAAGGATGCATCCCTACCGTCCCTTTGGTAGCTTTCTGTCTTCTACTGCATCTTCCTTTCAGGTCCTGCACCATCTCCCCTAGTCTGTGCTGGAGTTCATTCCCTCCTAGCCCCCACCTGGTTCCTCGCACTCCCCTCGGACCCCTTCACCTCCTTTGTGCCATTCATCGCTCTCTGCACTTGGGACAACTTCACACGCCCAGAACAGCAGCCTTCAGCAAATCCCCTGAACTCCAGGAATCTTTCCCACCTTCTCCCATCCCAAACTTCTGCTGCTCAGCCTGAGTGACAGCCCCTGTACGGGAGTAGCACGTGATGGCAAGGAGGTTCTGCAGGCCAAGATGCAGATGCATTGGCAGGGGGGTGTAGGGGCCCAGGGCTGGAGTACCACTTGGTATGGTGGGGAGCCATTAGCAGGGCCATGTGTGAGGTCCAGGACAATGGCTGCAGGGCCTGTTTGAGCTGCAGTGACAATGCTCTATGTCGGTGGGGAAAGGGATTACTGGCGAGTTTGCATAGGACGTAGCTGCACCATGATGGGCTCTTAACAGATTACCAGTTCCTCACTTTCAAAAGCAATTAAGTTTGCGCTTTCCAGGCTCTTTGCAAACCCCTAATCTCCAATGCAGGCTATAGAAGGAGCATGCAACCACCACTGAAATGCAGCCACCTCTGGGGTGGAATGTATCTGTTTAACAGCAACACTGTATTATAGTTTAGGACAGCAGGTGAAGGTGAACAAATACCACATTCAGCTGAAACTGTCTGAGGAATTCAGGGTGCTAGAATTAGTTACCAGAGTTGGAATTTGGCTGGGACAATGGGGCCATCTCTTGGGGAAAGTGCTATGGGATTTATAATAATCACCAACAGTGAGGTCTTGAGTTTTGGTTCTCCTCTAAATGATGGCACCTCCTGCATCCCAGCACTGGGACCTCGGTTCTGCAGACCTTCACCCACTGCATCACCAGCATTACCCTCTGCAGAACAGAGGTGCTGCTCTTAGGAGCATCAGCCAATTGCTGACCAGGCCCGGGGAGATCCAACAGCACCACAGCCCACATGTTAGGGTGTAGCCCTAGAACTTCCCTGTGCTTGTCCATCACAGAACCAAACAGCCTCTCTCCCGGGTGTGTTTGTCGGGTGGGGAGAGAAGCTGACAGCCCTGATCCTCAGCATCTCTACCCACCAGCTCCCACTAAGCACAGATGGCTGAGTCATGAGTTGCATGGCTTCTGCTTAGATTTTGTTTTATTTCATGAAGGTGCCATATTCCCCATGCCAGGCCATCAGCTACAGAAGAAAATGTTTTCACCAGTACTTGGCTCCCGTGCAGGAGCCAGCCCTGTTTCCGCTCTCAGTAGGTCACTTTGGAGACCCACCCTGGCTCAAAGATTTCCCTTCCACTTCAGAAGCCAGCCAGCCAGCTCCTCTAACCTGCTCCTCCTGGCACCCCACTTGGAAAGAGAGCTTTGAAAACGAATCAGAAGGGCAAAGCAACTGGGAATTACAGCTTCAGTTCTCCACGCAGCAACAAATGCGTTTGCCAGACCCATACTCCAGAAAACCAAGCAGGAGAGATTCCAGGAGCTTCAAAGTGCTTCGCGCTCCTGGATCAGATCCTGGGCAGGGCCTATGTGGACAAAGCTTGGTGTTGAGAACTAGAAAACTCAGCTAGCAAGGTCAGAAACGTGCCTGTATTCAGGGCTGTGTTACAAACCTGACACAGAGCTAAACTAGCCAAATGGTCCCATCATACTTCATGAACCTCTTGGCAAACCGGGCTGGAGTCACGGGTCAGATTCTCCTCCTATTTATGCCAGTTTGAGACAGCTACCCTGACTTCACTGGATTTCTTGATTTTACACCAGTGTGTTTGGTGGGAGCCATGGAAACTTAACTGAAAAGGTTAAGTTGGTGAGTTTGAGGTCAGAATGAACCCAAAGCAGAATTTAAGGGTTGTGAACTGATCCCCCTGAAACTTCTACCCCAAAAATCCAATCCTGCATTGCCAGTTTCTCTCTCTGCTCTATGCTCTCAGCTATACAGCCTGGGACATCAAAGTCTGTTTTATTGAATGACAGCACTGACTAGAGGAGGTAAACTTTAACCTGGATTATCTTCAGTGGCTAATGTTTAATGCCTCCTGTATCAGTACAGCACCTGCTGAGCTTATCCTGTAGCATCAGCACTAGTTATCCTGTGATTCCAAAGGTGAGAGTGTTACCCACTGGGCCCTACTGGTTCTTATTCTTAAGAGTCCCCTGTTCATCATCTAATTCTATGTGATCAGTGTGAATTCTGGGTCCGAATTTGATTCTTTGGCTTGCTTTTTTACCCAGAGGCATTTTTCATTTTCTCAGCCTTGTTTCTTGCTAATAACCCAGTGCCATAACCTATCTGGACTTGGTTGACTGAGTATCGGGTGAGGTAGCTTTTACTATGCTAGGATCCTTATCTACAGGCATAACGTAGGGAGGAAAAATGGCAAGTGCTTCTTAATAACTTGGTTGGTAGGTACAGTATTTCGTTTACTGTAAATGCATTGCTGTAAATCCAAGAAATTAGTGAGGGTCGTAAAGTTCTCCAGAGTATGCAAAGGAAAGGAGAAAACAAGTATTTTAATGCTATTTTAATGTGTGTATTAAAGAGTTTTGGAAAGTGCCTGGGTTAGCTTCCTAGTAACCGAGATTAATTTTATATTTTTGTTTCTGTCCCCTCAATTCATACAAGTAAGGGAGGGAGGGAAGGCAAGAGGGAGGGAGATCTAGATCTCTCTCTCTGTCCTTCCTCAACACAGGTCTGCCAAAGGTTACTGCTCCATTGTTTTTCCATCTGGCAAACTGCAGGTTTCCAGCAGTGTCCAATAGGGAGAGTCACAATTTGAAAACAGCTGAGGCAGTGAGGTCTAATGGCTGTTCGAGTCAGTTTGGAAGCAGCAAAAAGGCCACTGTGGGATGCATAATAAAGGGAATCGTTTATAAAGCAAGATCGCTCTTCCTCTTGGAGCCTATTTGGAGAATGGCATGTTGCCCGGGGCACTGATTCCAAGGTCTTTTTAGTTTTCAAGGAGAGAGTAACTGTGATGGTGACTGGGCAGGAGTTTAGGAAGTGATTTTCCTGTCTTAAAGAGTAACTGGAGTTTGGAGCGGTCTGTGGAAGTCATGGCAACAGATACCCTAAGACTTGTGTGTTTAAGAAATGCGGTTCCCGTCCTTCACGCTCTGATCTATCCAGCACCCCCTGCTGAATGATGGGTTTGTCTCTCAGGAGACGGAAGAGGGACTTGGGTAGAGCTACCATTCTTCCCAGGCTAAAAGTTCTATGTATCCAGAAACTGGCATAAATGCTAGCCCCATCCCTTACTTCCAAGCCTTCCAGATTGCACCATTAAACAATGCTGCTGCTGGACTCAGCTCTCTCATCACTTTAAAATCCCTTTGCCGACTCTGGAGGATTATTGCTCCCTTCCAAGCACCTCTGTCTGACTTGCTTCTGCCCATGAACCCTGGGTCCCTGCTTGCAGTCTGGATTGGCTGACCTTGTGGTACCTAAGCTCCATATTCAACCTGGAAATCAGCTCGAGCGCTGTTAGCAAGTCCCTATTTCACTGCTACAGAACCAGCTCCCAGCTGGAAATGGTCTCAAGTTCAAAAATCAACAGTCTTGAGAAGCTGTAATGCGGGGTGCTGCTTTTATAGCCAGCCCTGAATGGTGGAGCATCCTGTGTAAATGCATTTTGTGGCCATTGCTCCTGTTCCTTCAAACTTTGTTTCTGCACCTACTTCCGGGCTCCAACAACTGTGCACTGTTTGTCACGTAAAAAACTGCAGGAAAAACCAGCAACGCTGGATTTCCCTGTTAGCCACATCGAGCCGAGATTAGTATTAATTTTTCGTCTATAAAACTTGTCCTCTTAACGAGCCAAATTGTCCCCTCCTCCCACAAACATACGTTTTGAGAGCTTACGTTTTACATTTTGCATTAGGGCTCTGAAGGCAAGGGAGCTGGGCTGGGAGTTTGATCAGACCGGGAAAGAGAGCTCTGCAAAGCTGCTTTGCCCGGAACGTATGACTCAGGCATGAGGAGAACACTGCAATGTTCGTGTCTGAGGAGGCTCGGTTGCAGTGTGACATTATTATAGCCATTTTGGACCCCGACTCCCACCACTAACTCACCAGCAGCCTCTGCCACCGTTCCCAATCAAATCATTCTCTCTCACTGCGCCTGGGCTTTTTTAAACAGCCAGGTACAAGGGACTGGAAGCGCTAAGCAATGCATTTAGAATGCATCCCAGCGCCGAGAAGGGAAACGTGGAGAAAACGAACGTGCATTGAGAGAGACTTTACAGGTCATTTAAAATTGGTTTGGTTTCTCTTAACTGTCTTAGGTTTTGTGGGGAGTGCTGTCCCTGCGTGGGGAACCATCTGTACTAGAAGGGCCTCCCAGCAAACTGGAACATTGCATTGATAGGAAGGAAGGGTTACGGGGTAAAATTAAATGTATTCAAAACCTTCAGGTTCTCAAAGTCTTTCTGGTATTTTTCCCTCAGTGCTGAAGCATTCCCCTCCACGTGCTTGTTCTCCAGCTCGTCCCTCATGGCATTCATCTGGGCCTCCAGCTCTTGAATGCGCTCTCTCAAACCGTGCATGGAGTTTAACTCGCTCTCGGAGACCTGCATCCCACCCTCGGGCTGATCTGTTGCCCACTCATTCCCGTCACTGGTTTCAGACCCTTCAGAAGGCAAGGCTTCTGGGTGCTGCCTCTGGTAATTGTCTAGTGTTTCCTGTAAGCACTGCAGGTTCTGGTTGTAATGCTCCTGCAAAGTATGCAGTTCCTCATTGTGGATGGTTTGTAGTTCCTTTATCTTGGCCTGGAACTTTTCCTCCAACATTTGCATTTGCTCAAGGTGATACGTCTCCATGTTTTGCTTATCTCGGACGATGGCATCAAGTTGATTTAGGCCCTCTGTTCTCTCTGCCTTCAGAGTGTCCTCTGTCCTATTCAACTGCTCAATCACATTTTGCATCTCCTCCTCATACCTGCCTTGTAACTCGCGTAAGTTTTTGCTGTGTTTGTGCTCTTCTTCTTCCAAGAGCCTCCGCTGATTGTCCAGCTGAGAGACTTTTGCCTTAAGGTCTACATTCTCTCTTTCAATGATGGCGATCATCTCGGCATATTCACTCTGCTGCTTTCGAAGCAAGTCTTCATACTCCTCACGAAGGGCGGACACGGTCTTTACGCGCTCTTGACACAGAGCATCCATGTTTTGCAAAGACTCTTTGTAAAACTTTAGCTCCCTTTCATACTCGAGTCTAACTTTGAAAGCCCCATAACAAACCTGAGCCTGGATAATTGCATCTTGAACTAACAATGATGAATAGCGCTCAAGATCTCCCATGCATGTATGATATGAAAGACTTTGAGAAATTTTTAGGAGCTTCTGGCAATCGCGTATGGCTTCCTCAGGGGACAAGGATAGTAAGGCAACAGATATTTCTTTAAGAACATTTGCTTTTTCTTTTAGTTGTTGGGCAAGGTCTTCTTGAATGGCAACAAGAGCTTCACTACTGTGGTCTGGCAAACCATGGGCCTGCATCATCTTGGCTGAATCTTGACATGGCATCACCTTGAGGTGGCTCCTATCCCAAGAGGTTTGGGTTCTTTCTGAAGCATCCTTTTGGATTTCAAGTGCTTCAGAAATTTGATGCATAACCCTGTCAAATTCAGAGGTCCTGTATGCTTTGATGATTTCCTCCAACATGCATTTATGTTGCTGGAGAGCTGTTTTGGTATTGTGGAGGTCTTCTTCAATTGTTTTTAACCTCTGATGAAAAGACTCTCGCATCTTCTGTGCAACAAAACCAAGTTCTGCCCTGATCAACGTAGCATCAGCTACTGTTTGGACAAGGCATTGGGGAAAACTAAAACTAACTGCTTCTGTTTTGCTTTCTACCGCCTCTTCTCTGGTGCCTAAGTGCTTTCTCAATTCTTCCACCTGGCTCCAAAATTCACCTTCCAGTAGCAGCTTCTTAGATAAGATGTTGGCCAAGGCAATTGCTGTGTGCGACACATTTGCCGGCTCTAAAAAAACCACCTCAGCTGTCCCATGAATCTCTCTGAGAATCTGGGAAATCTCTGAGCTTGCATTTTTCAAAGATTCTGCTATTTGGTTGATCAGGGAGGCTTCAAATGCTATCCTCTCAGAAAGCAATCTTAACTGGTCTCCATCAGACATTTCAACTTGCTGCTGCTGCGAAATGAGTTTCTGTTCCTCCAGCAAACTCTCTTCTGCAGGTGGAGTTTGAGCCACACAGCTTTCGCTCGGCTGATAATCCGAGGAGATGGGTGTCCCTTGCAAGACCTGGACTGCATTTGACAAGGTGGTTTCCATGCTGGACAGAGTGGTAAGAAACAACTCTCTCTCTTTCTCCTTGTCAGATTTGGGTAAAGCCCTTAGCTGTTCTCTGCATTTTTCTAAACAGATCAGGGTTTGATCATTTTTCACTTGGAAGTCTCCCAGCTCATTGACATGATTTTTTATCATTCTGAACTTTTCCTGTCTCTCATTTTCCAGCTGTGAAACCAGAGCACCAACTTCGGATAAGCTAGCTTGGAGCTGTTCCCTAAGCTGGGACTCTGTGCTGGCCCACTGATGGTGGAGGGCTATCAGGGTTTCCTGGTTATGGCCTTGCTGGCTTTCAAGCTTCATGGACACATCTTTGAGCTTTTCCTCCGTGATGTAAAGTTTGGTTTCCAGGGAATGGATGATTGAGAGATAAGTCTCAGAGTCACTGGTTCCTGAGGCTGGGTAACCAAGAACTGGTTCTGATGACATGCTTTCCTCAGACAGTGATCTGTCCTGGCTTGTGTCTGAAGACGTGCTACTAGTCCAATTTTTCTCCGACCCATCTGAATGGATGTATTTTTGACACTGGATGTTTGAGAAGCGGATTCTTTGCCTTTTGGCACCTAGGGTTCCTATATCAGGCTTCGTTAAGGCTTTCTGCTGTAACTCTCGGTCTTGAAGCTCTGTAGTCTTCAACAGAGACCTAAGTTCTTCGGCATTCAACACGGTATGCTCACCAGCCTGTCTCTGGCTGGTCTCAGGACGTTCAGCATCCTCCTCCTTTAGTGCATAATTCAAACCTGTAAGCCCCTCAGGAGCTGGCATGTCTGAAATGTGACTTTCATCAGCCTCAATGCAGAAGTCCTCTCTCTCTTTAGCACATGGTACTGAGTCCACATTAGCTAACTTCTTTAAAACCTCTTCTTTGGCCTGTAGCCTTACTTCGGTTTCCTCTAAACTGCTGCCCAAAGCTGCCATTTTAACCAAAGCCTCATTGAGATCTTGATCTTTCTTTTCAACAATTCTCAAGTGCGTTTCCTTAACGTGTCTCAGCTCTTCCTCTTTTTCTTCCAGCACCTTCTGCACGCTCTGGAACTGATCTGATACTTTCTCGTACAATTGCTCCAGCTGATCATAGTTGGTCTCCTCCATTTTCAACTTTGCTTGAAGCTTGGCAACTTCATTATCGGACTCTTCAACCTGATTCATCAGCTCTTGGAACCTACATTTGATCTGATCTCTCTCCCCTTCAAGTTCCTTGATGTCCTCAGCAAGCTTCTGGATGCTGGCCTCCTTCATCTCCAGTTGCTCCTCTAGCTGGTGGACAATCTCGCTGCCTTCAAATTTTGCGTTCAGTTTCTCTTTCTGAAGAATTTCCATCTGCTGCTCGTTGTTTTGAAGCTGGTTCTCGTACTCGCTGGCCTTATCCTCCACCTCCTTCAGACTCTGTATTAAAACCTGCTTTTCCTTCTCACAGCTTTCCAACAAAGCCTCATAATTCTTCTGCAACTTCTCCTCCATTAGGATCCGAGCCTGTTCACTAGCGTTCAGCTGCCTGCTCAGGTCTGCAATCCTGTCCTGGAGCCGCTGCACTTCTTTCTGGTGGTCCCTTTGCAATGCCTGTTGCATTTCAAGATCCCTCAGCTCCTGTGTCTTTTCCAGCAGCAATGCCTCTGCATTCTTTAGCTTTTGCTCACTGGCTTTTAACTGGGAGCTCAGAGTGGTCTCGCTGTGCTGCCACTCCTCCAGCTGCTCTTTGGCTTTCTCCTTCTCACTCTTTAAGTCACTCTTCAGCTTGGCCAGAGTTTGCTCTTTGATGGATAGCTCAGCTGCAGCATTACTGAGCCTTGCCTGAAGGCTCTGAATCTCGGCTTCATGGTGCCGGATCACATCCTTTGCCTCACCATAGCTACGTTTCAGTGACTGGATCTGCTGATTGATTAGCTCCTGACGCTGGCACTGGGCTTCCAGCTCACTTTGGAGGTCTTGATTGACTTTATGGAGCCTCTGCCAGGCACCCGATGGTGAGGCTGCCACCTCGGTCTTAAAAAAATTGATTAAATACTAGATTAGTAACACTTGGATCCCAGTTCTGAGTGTCACACCTCTGGCCAGGTCTGGCCATGGGAAAGCTCCTTGGATTCTTTTGGCTGCTACCCATATGCTCCCATTTTGGAAGGTTTCTGTTCTTGGCACAATTTTTTTTTTAAGGGGGCAATAGCTGCTTCTGATTAACAGAAAATACAGATGGTAACATTGAAACATCTCTAAGGTAACAGTCTATGAGAAGCAAGTCAAACAAAACCAAAACAATGGAAAAGGAAACACTAGTAAATAAAACAGAGACAGGAAGGGAGTGAGGACGAGAGGGAGGGAAGGGAACAGGTTGGGGAGAGGAGCTGCTCAATTTGGTGTGTTGGTTTGTTTAGTTTGTTGTGAAACAAAAAGTGCACAATTCCAGGTAACAAAGTCCTTCAGAACAAAAGCAATAACAGGAAGTGAGGTTGAAAGTAAATGACATCACTTCCTGCCAAGCCACAGGAAGAGGAGATGGCTGCCATAGTGATGTCATGTCTATAATAGCTAAAACAGGCTTCTTCATCTGGCTGCTCCTCTTTTTTAAAAAATATTATTACTACATCTTAAGAGTGGGGAGGATCTAATCTCTCTACCTGTAAAAAAAGACAAGTGAAAGGGAAAAACAGGTACGATGAGAACGTAAAATAAAACAAACCTTTGTGAGATTCAAACCAAAGCAGTGTAGCATGCAAAGAGAAAACTCACAAAGAGAGTCATGCATAAGTCGACAGAAATTATATATCTTTAAAAGAAATACACAAACAGGAAGAGGCAAGAGAAGCACAGCGTTAAGCCTATGAATTTGGCCTGCCTTGCTGTACTGTTCGCTGGTAGGGAAAGCCCACAGATGTGACACTCAGTTATGTTACATTAAAGTCATGCTTAACACCAAAAACATGCAAGAATATCCACCCAGGACAGGTTAGTAAAGTGACCCCCTCCCTCACCAGAGCTGGAAGACATTCCAGGTATCTAAAAGAGAAAGAGTGAGCGCTAGCGCTTTACCACCGGTTAGAATTCAAAGGGTTCAAGATATTTCAGTTGTGATTAAACTTAACAGCAAGAAATGTCAGAGGGGTTACAAGAGCTCAAAAAGGGCTTCAGTGCACGGTGCATGCGTCAGTACCAGTTCTTGTTCAACCGCTTTGTTATTATTAAGAAATGTGCAGAGTGTTTGATGCCAGTCTAGAGCCAACAGTATTAATGCCCATGAAAGGTATCTGTAAAAGGATAAGGACTTGGGGGGGGCCGCAAGACCTTAAAAAATTCAGAAGCTCCGTTCAGGTAAGTACCCTAAAGTTTATGCAGACTTTCTGGGTCTACAGAGTAGCGCTGGAACGCTCCGAGATTCATAAATTCCAAGGCCAGAAGGGACTATATGCAATCATCGGGGGGAGGGATAGCTCAGTGGTTTGAGCATTGGCCTGCTAAACCCAGGGTTGTGAGTTCAATCCTTGAGGGGGCCACTTAGGGATCTGGGGCAAAATCAGTACTTGGTCCTGCTAGTGAAGGCAGGGGGATGGACTCGATGACCTTTCAAGGTCCCTTCCAGTTCTAGGAGATAGGATATCTCCATCTCATCTGACCTCCTATACATCACAGGCCGGAGAACGTCTCTAATATAATTCCAGAGCATAACTAAGAAAAACATCCAGTCTTGATTTAAAAATTGCCAGTGATGGAGCACCTACCACGACCCTTGATAAATTGTTCCGATGGTTAACAGGGAACAGGATCCCTCTCTCAGATACTAATGGTTTCTTGCTGGACTAGAAATACTCAATTCTCACATGGAATTTTGGCTCTGCCGCTTCCTACCGGAATTAGAAAATGCAAAGGCAGCCATCAAAGGCGGGGAGGGGGAGGAAAGGTATTCTCAGACTCTCAACAAGATTCAATTTAGTTTTAGATGAAAAAGTGGGTTGGTTGGTATGGTGTTAGAGCGGATTTGTGCCCACCTACTAGGGACTTTGATTCTCGCTCTTATTCCTAACTTCAAAGGCACTAAGGCCAACTCAGAATGTCAAGCGTGGTGAAGTAGGTTTTGGTAGTCAATTTTGTGCTGGTCTACGATTTGCTGGGCTTCAGTTTAAGGGAGGTAGGATGCCTTCGCTCTAGGGAAGCCGCAGTTGGTCTGTTGTTGTGGAAATGTGGGATCCTGCCCAGAGCCTGTAGCCAACATGAGTTGCTGCCATAACAGAAGATCAAACACAGCCTAAGAACAGGAAGCTACAGCTACAGATTGTGAAGTGGCAAGTCCAATGAACATTTGGGAATTTGCTAATAAACACAGGAATTGTCTAGCTTTCTTCTCCCCCCCCCATGGGTCGGCCCATCCAAGACCTTTATCCCTCTCCACCCTCACAAGCCCTTTTTCTTGCCAGCTATTCTTCCAATTTAAGGGCGCTAGGTAGAGCTCCCAAGTCTGGCAGAGAACTGGCAGCAGCATGTTAAAAGAAGCTCTTCTCTCTTGGAAGCTTAGGGTGCTTCCTCTGCAGCACAGCTGGCTACTTTGCTAGCCCCATTTAGTTTTCCTCCTGGAAGGATCTCCGCTCTCCTTTCAGAACCTAGGGAATTCCTCCCTCCCCAGAGATCCAGGCTGCGACTCCATCCTTCTGGACAAACACTGCACAGGAGGCTCCGTGCAGCTTGGATTGTAAGCTCCTGGGGCAGGGACTGTATCTTCCTATATGTTCATACAGCATGGGCCCTTGATCCTGACTGGGGCCTCTCAGCCTTCCCACAATACAAACACTAACAGATCAATCCTCCTTCTCCAGAGGGGTGACTGACTGAGCGCACACGGTGCTTCTTGCCTCCCTTAAGCGAAGCATGCTACCTCCCCAGTGCTTCCAGCCCAGGAAGTGGGCACAGCCTTGGATACCAAACCCAGCCCCTCCGCCCCTCCCGCCCCTACCATGTGGCAACGTAGAGCACAGCCACTAGCCACCTTGTTCCACAGCAGGTAAAAGTCAGCAGGTAAAATTCTACCTAGATCACAGAACAAGAATGAATTCTTGCTGAGCCAGCCTGCTACAGCTCCATAAGCTTTGCCCCTCCTTTTGAGGCACGGCTGGAGACTTCTTTGGCTGTATCTAAGAGCCTATAAGAGAGTGGGGAGGAAGAGGGTAGCTGCTCCTCTCTCCTTTCCTAACCACTCCAAAACCCAATTCCAGGCCTGGTTCAGAGCCACCAGCCTTTAATACAGCCAAAAGCCACTACAGCGGTCCATAAGAAAGGCCATGTGGCCAGAGCAGAATTCACAGCCCTGAATGCACAGAACAGGAGACGGGGGTGTGCGCACGCATGACACTGACATCAAAGTGAACTTTGTCAGGGTTGTTTCCACTATGCATCTGGGGCTCATTTTCCTTTAGTGAAACCTTGCTGGCCATCATATCTTCTGTCTCTACACAGATATGGGTGCCCTAGGGGGATGAGTTCCTCTCCACCAGAACCCAGACCATTGGAACAGAAAAGGAATTATTAAAGAAATGCTCTTTATGAAGTCGGGAAAGGACGATGGCAGCTTTTAAGAGAGGCCAAAGTCTCTTGGGGCACAATAGATTTTGCACATTTCTGCTCCACACTAGATGCACTCATGAGCACCCTGGACTGAAGCCCAACAAGTTCATTTGCAGGTGCAGCGAACGATGGAGATTTCTCTCTCTCACTCTCCTACCTGCAACACGTAGCCTTCCCTGGCACTCTGCTCCCGGCCCAGTGCCACCTTCAGTTGGCCCTGCAGGACCCGGTTCTGCTCGAGGAGGTCTGATGCCTCCTTCTGGCTCTGCTCCAACTGTTGGAAATGGACAAAGACAGAACCCAAAGGGTTGGTTGAGGAAGCACGGGAGGAAGAGGTTCAAAGGCACTTAGCATGGAGCGAACTCCTCTCTTCCTGCTGAGATTGGGGCTTTATTTCATTTGACAACACCCCACTCGCTCAAACCAAACACAGAAAACCCCAACGTTGTGCATTTGTTTAATTTGTGAAGCTCACTGAAATGAGGGATTAACAGCACTGGCAGGAGCCAGGCATAATCCAGGTGAGCTCTCCTTCCCCCGACCACAGCTCATTTCTGACAGCTCTGCTAATGCACCTTAATTCTGACCTGCAGCAACTAACCCATGTTATGCCAGACTTGAGCCTCTTCCAAGTGAGTTGAGCTTCCGGGGTAGCTCCTTTCCCAGCTCATTTATGCTCCTTTCCCAGCTCTTTCTTTTTAGTTTCCAACAACACGAGATTGCTCATTGTCCATGACAAATAAGCAGAACCAACTTTGTACACTTACAAGGTGTGCAGGTTGGCTGAGCTGTTGTGTGCACGTGCACACACAAAATCACACTCACAATTACAGGTTCAGAAGTTGAAGCCTGATTTCAGACAGCATTAATATACTTGACCTGCTCAGGTCACAGTGGAAGGCTTGTTAATAAACAACCACTACAGCCTCTGGTCTGGCTTGACTAGAAAAAGATGCCAAAAGATCCCCATTGCAATAACTGTCCTTCCAGGAGATGTAGACACAACAAAAAGACAATCAAATCGGAAGAGAATGGGAAATGCCAGGGTCATGGGCCTGGTCCCTGTATTTCCCCAAAGGGGCCCTATAGTGTCCACTTATCCCCGTTGCTCTTAATGCAGCAATAAATTCACCCCGTGACTGAACCGTCCAGCTATGACCCACTCTGGTGTAACAGGAAGGACCATTACCACACAGGCTACGGCAGCTCAAGGAGCCCCTTGGAGCCAAAGCCCTGGCTTGCTCCCTACTCCTCTCATTTTACCTCCTTCTCCAGCAGTGAGGTTAGCTGCTGCTTGTGGATCCCGTCGTCTCTGTCATCCGGTTGGGCCACGTGCAGGGGCATGATGGGGATTTGCTTCTCCTCCCGTAGAGGGGTCGTCTCCACCTGGTGCCATCGCTGCTCGATCTCCACATGAACGTTCTGTGGCTTCACCTCCCCTGTGACAGGCAGGCCTGGGATCCTGTCCACCTCCATCCTCAACACGTCCTCTGGGCCTGCCCCATCAACAGCATCGATCATCTCAAAGCGCTTGCGCCTCTCCTCTCTCCGCCGAGCACGCTCCCGTTCCAGCTCCCCGGGGTCTGCGTCCGGAGCGCTGGGTTCCCTGGGGAAGGCCGTAGAGCTGCTCTTTGAGGGCTCTGCAGCAGTGGCTCTCTCCTGCGCCAAGGCTTGCTGAATGGGGCGGAACTCAGCCCAGTCAAAGGTTTTGGAGCGCCCCTCTCGCCTGCGCTCCCGGGCACGGCTCCGCTTCTGCTCAGGATCCATCTCAGCTTGGTCCGAGTCCTGCTTCTCACTTGGCTTTGGACAGGTCTCAAAGGAAGAGCTGGTTTTGCTTTTCTCTTCTGGCAAGGAGCTGTTAGGACAGAGGAGGAAAGAAAACATCCCTCAGTCCACTACAGAGATGCAGCCCACGATCACACTTGTGCCCAAAGAGCCACTGCCACAGAGACAGGATCAAAGCCCATTGAAATGCCATGTGTGTTCCTGGGCATCCCTCTCCCACCATCATTGAAGCTCCTCATGGTATCGCGACTTCGGCCAGGAGCTACTGCTCTCCTTTCCCCTCAAACTCTGTGTATGAATTTAGTGCTGATGGAAGGTGCCAGCTGGCAGCCCAAGGACGCAAAGCCCTTTAGCTTATCAACAGAGCGGGGCAGCATAGGTAGCAGTGCAAACTTCCCCACACTGTCCCCTCGCCACTGTGCCTCAGCGTTGGCTTGGAAGGCCCACTCCTCCTTCAAACACACCCTGCTAGCAACGAGAGGAGTTCTCTCAGGACTTGGCCTTCTCTGCTGAGACCACCAACAAAGGGGTCTATGGCAGTACTGGGATGTGGGCACTTGTCCACTAGGAACAGGGCTGAGGCCAACCAGCAGCCCTCAAGTGCTAACTTTATAATCATTAACACCATGGGTAGGCTTTGAACAGTACATCCCTTCTGAGCCATCCAGTCCTCACCCCATCGCCCCGTGAAGCCCTCTTTCTAACCATCATGATCCTTCTGCCCAATTCATTTAATGAGGCCACAGTCATGTGTTCGTTGCAATATTGCAACTGGTCACTACCACAGTGATTCTGGGATGTAGCTTCAAAAAGGCACGGAGAAGGAGGCTGAGGTTCAGCAGTGATGGAAGAGGAAGCACAGGGAAGCACATGACCATCTGGGAGGGGTTTGGTAACACCTTTACGGTTTTTCCGAGCTTGGCAAAGGCTCACCCAGGAACTTCTCCATGCCACTCTCTGTACTGAAAACACAGGCCCCTGGAATTGTGATCAACACTGTAGTCCTGGACTTGGAGACCATGTGCTCTTATGCTTCCCCCGCTGGGCCAGCAGCAGCACAAGTGCTGTGCACGCTACTGCAAATGTCACTGATGATGCCGAATGCTCAAACAAGAAAGTAAATCAAAGGAAGCAATGGCCCTCTAGTGCTGAGTTAGAGGGGAGTGGGATGGGGGAAGATGTATACTTGTCAAGCAGGAAAGGGTAAAGTTAGTAGGGAAAGGAAATGTATGTCCAAGCTTCTAAAGACAACCTATAATACAGTCCTGGATTATTCAATAGAAATGCAGGCATGCCAGCCTTGTACATGCAGATTAGAATTAAAACAAATAAAATGTCAATAAGCCAACTCCATGGAATGTGATTCCCACAGAATAATTCTGGCCCGGAGGGTCTGGGAGACATTCACTCAAACCCTGCTGGAAACAGAGCCCCAAGTGGTGCCATTTCCCAGTAACTCCACCCATGCTGTTGAATTCACCTTCAGCTTGACTAGGCCTTCCTACCTCTGCCCTGATCTTGCTCCTTAAAGGGACAGTACCCCCACATTTGTACTTAGCTTAGCTAAGTACATTTGTGTTCAGCAAGCTTCGATGTGTCAAGCAACTTAGCTTTCTGCGAGGGTGCAGTGAAGAGAGCCATAAAGCCCTTGTATGGGGCGTTCACTGCAGCCAACTAAAATTAACGCAGTAAAATTTTAAATTTAAATTAGTGGTGATAGCCCATCTCCTAGAACTGGAAGGGGCCTTGAAAGGTCATCGAGTCCAGCCCCCTGCCTTCACTAGCAGGACCAAATACTGATTTTGCCCCAGATCCCTAAGTGGCCCCCTCAAGGACTGAACTCACAACCCTGGGTTTAGCAGGCCAATGCTCAAACCACTGAGCTATCCCTCCCCGGTACCTTAACACTGGAGCTACATTCATGAAGACTACCAGCATTTACAGTGGGCATAACAGCAGAGGATTTCCTTGGAGTATTTACAACAAAAAGGTTCCTCCCCACCGGTGCCCCACCAAAACCCATATGTGCACATGTCCAAAGAATGCAACATAAGGGAATGACTCTGCATGGTTCCTATGCTAGTATCTTCCGATGCACTTTCACCCACAAACTACAGGCTCAGGTGGGCTTAGTTTTAAGAAACTCTTGCAGTTTCAGGTTTATCTTTGAAAACCAGGCCGGAAAGATGCCCTTCAGCTCTGCCCACCGCAGCTAACAAAAGAAACTTCCATACTGCACCATGATGAAACTGCACTATTTGAGTTCAGAGCTACTTTTGACCCTCATGCCTGAAGCCCTAAAGGGATGCTAGATGTTTCCAAAGCAAACGTACAGCCAGCAAGTCAATCTGGTTAATTGGTAAAACAGCATTTTACACAAGTTAACAGTAAAGAGACATTGTCTTAAAACAGAACGGGGGTTGGGAACAAAGAGAATCCCTGGACTACCAGCCACTGTCAGAAGACTGAAATGATACAGCTCTGACCCCAGACTTCTCAAAACGACTCGAGAATGCCCTGTTGTCATATCTGTTACCGGCTTACTTCCCCTCTGCACATTCCAGAGGGGCACGGATTACAGGTCACGGCATATGAATAGCATTTAGAAACGAACTGAGGAGGATGCAGTGGCACTGATCTAGGAGATAAAACGGAAGTCTTGGAAGTGCCCAGCAGCCCACACATTGCCATTAATAATGCTCGACTATTTCCCACCTCCAACCCATTTTTCTCCTTCTGCTCAAATGAGTTACCTCAGCCCGCATTTGCCCTGGAAAGGCAAACACTGGCCAGGAGGTGGGGTGGAGGGAGCTTTTTAATAGCTGTGGGGAATGTCTAGTCACTGCTCCTTTTAGGTCAGGAACACTGCGTGGTAGAGTTCAAAAATGGTATGAAATTGGCAGGCAACTGCAGTTAGAGGTGGCTTGGAGACTGAGCCCAAGTAGGAGGTGGATGGAATTAGCAGGTAAAGAAGGACCCACTTGCTGTGCTTAGCACATGCATCGTTATTTTATTTTGCTGGTGGTGATTATTCTGACCCAACTAAAGCTTTTGCAGTTAGACTATGAGCTCTTTGGTGCAGGGACCATCTTTTTGTTCTGGTTTTATACAGGTCCCAGCACAATGGGGTCCTGGCCCATGACTGAGGCGCATAGATGCTATCACAATGCAAATATTAATAATACTGTAGTTTAAAACACGTATATTTGACTTAATGGATTTCTGGAGACATAACACAGGGCAAATAAACAGATGTTAAAAGGGGATTAAAGTGAGTTTGGGGTATCAATCCAGCTCCTAGTGGAGAGATGCTGAACCATCATCACAGATGGTCACCTTGGGGGCAATTTCAGCAGAATTTGTCATATGCTGAACTGACCATGAAGACTAAACTGCTCTGACCCCTTGACACCCGAAGTGGGATATAGATCATCGCTACTAGCACTGCAGGGTAAAGCACTTGCAAGCCCTTAGCCCTGCAAGCCTCCTGTGCTCTGGCTCTCAGCCTCACAGAACTCCTGTCTACCAGCCATTTCAGAACGTGCACACGTTAACAACATTCCCCAAGATGGGCTGGTGCACCCAGCGCATTGACACATACACGAGGATAAGTGCACTACTGGGATCATATTTACAGGACAATGGTTTTCTCTAGATTCAGTAGTTCCAGCTTAGTTATGGGGAGACATGCTCAAATAGTTCTAATCCACATCACTGACCACATTCACTCATTACACAAAAATTCTGAAATAAGTTAAATTAAAACTATTGCAATTGACCAAGATTTATTTTTGCTAACTTGACGAAACAGGAATTTACACAAATCCTTAGAGGTTAACGGTCTCCTCTAATTTACTTGGTCTTGTCCGTCTTCATAACTATGCACATCAGAAGATACCATTGTGGGGAAATCAAGTATCAAGACCAGGTTGCTTCTTCTCTTCTTTCTCATTTTAATTTTAAAAAGAAATGAAAAATTTCAGGACTTTCTATCTGGAGTGCAGAAAACGGGGAGCATGCAGTGACTCACAAGTGATACAAACCACAGAACGTTAATACAGGAGAGAACACAGTTTTCCAACCTGGGCTTCAGCACCGATAGTTTCAAAGAGAAGTTTTTCCTGGGAATGCATGGAAATCAAACATATGCAGGAGTGAGGAAAGAGGAGGACTCCCAGAGAGCCATGAGAGATCCACCAGCCAGCTCTGTCAGGGGTAAGGGGGGGTATTTGAGTGGGAGGGGGGAAAGAGATCACGGAACATCTCTGCATAGACAGCACTGGGTGGAGAGAACTCTTCCACTGATGCTGGGGGAAATCAGGCACAAATTCAGTGGCTGCCAGTTGAGTATGGATAAGAGAAAAGGGGCTAAACGTGTGGGTGCATCGTCATTCACTACACAACAGACAGCCAGGAACCCAGGGATCAGGATGTGTGTGGCTTGATGCAGTGCCAAACTACGATAATTTTTAGCTGAGAGAAAGTAAAGCCCACTCTGCCCACAGCAGCAAGGTCTGATAGCAGGTACTATATGAAATTTGTGGGTGCCTTCCTCTTGTACTGAAGGCTTTCCAATTGGACTAAGGCCACCCCATGTCTTACGTGAAGGGGAAGAAGTTATGTAGAAGGTCAGAGGAGAAGAAATGCTTCTCACGGAGCACAGACTAAAATGGGGTTCAAGCAAATTCAGCTTTTAATTTCAAAACAGGCATTTGCTGAGGTGACAGGTTGATCTTGCTGAAGAGAGGAAAGGGGAAACCCAATATAACCAACCCCAAACCAGGGCTTGCACACACATCGAAGAGTGACCACGAATACAGGTGCGTGCCTCTAGGTCAGGCAGGTGGGTGTGCAAATGACCATTAGCAGATGCAAGCTGGAGGAACGCTCCCTTCTGCAGATGGTTGCACATCGGTGTGCAAAACAGGAGGAATTTTGGCTCTATGCGCCTTGTGCTGATTGCGAAAACAGCAGGAGAGCAAAGGGTGTCCAGCCTAAGCCCAGAGAATGGGAGTAGCGACAACACTGAGTGGGAGGGACCAGAAACAGAGTCAGAAAGGGGGTGGGTATTTCTGCACAGCAAGTGAGAGGATAGAGGGGGATGGGTAAGATGGGCATCATTCTTTTCCTAGTTCTTTACCTGGTCACATCTGGAGCGGCGGTGGGGCGAACGTGCTTCATGATCGTCTGGATCCAGTTTCGTCTAATCCCAGAGGTCATGGCAGAGAGGGTGAATTCCCCTTCTTTAGTCTAGGCAAAGAGGAGGAGCAAGTCAACATGGCTGATTCTAGTGGGCAGCACTTCCCTTCCCTTCAAGGGGTTGCCAGGACTCACTCCCCAGCCCCACTCTTCATCCCTCAGTGCAGAGACTCTAGAAATCTAGGTCATAGTGTGGTACCATGTAGACAAGCCCTGAGTTTGACAGATGTCTATCACTCAAGTCCTTAAGAAGGTTTTCATTGAGTATTTGAGAGAGAGAACCGTCAAATCCACTCCTTTCTCCCACTCCCATTTCTTACCAGCAACTATTGATCAAAACATGAACCAATGACTAGCCAATCACATGCTTCAGGGCACAAGCTGGTCACCACCTGAGGGAGTCAGGGAGACACTTCCCTACCCATAGGATAGTATCCACAGTGAGGTGTGTTACAAGAGTGGTTTCATCTGCCGCTGATCCATCCAGCATTAGTGACTGCTGGAAATGGACCACTGAGTCTGTTGGGATAAGGAAACATCTACCACCCTCACTCCAACTGCTCCCCACAGCAGCAGTGTTCCCGTTCCCCAAAACCTTCTTACATGGATCTGGAAGCCATAGTTTCGCTGAACTGGATATTCCGTGACGTCATAGCATGTAGACAAATCAATTTCTCCATCCAAATCAGCTGCCTGGGGAACGAGAGAGGAGAAAACTGTAGGGATTGTTGCACACTAAAAGTGTGCGCGCACACGTTCAAAAGCGGCATCTAACAAGAAGCTACTTAAGAAGCTTCTCCACAAGATCAGCAATCTCATTGTCAGCATCAAGGACTTATGGCGAGACACCCAGTAGAACCCATGGAGACATATTAACATGGATGCTTCAGCCCCATCAAGGGATCTGCAGAGTTGGGCTAAAGGGTGATCAAACTCCTGTTCAAGAAGAGACGTAGCTTTGATCTGGGGTTGGACCAAGCTCTGCCTCTCACTGAATCCCCGAGGATTGGGAGCTTGAAAACGAGCACTGCTGCGGATGCTCTTGTTGCTGGAAGCACCCAATTAACTTCAATGCACCCCCAGGCTTTCTAATCTTCTAGCTAACTTGCGAGGCACAAACACAAATCCAGCCGGGAACCTGAACTCCCCACCCAGGACACAGCTGTGTTCATATGGAGAATTGTAGGCGCAATGCTGGGAGTCGGGCCCACTGAAGTCATTTGGGACTTTGTCAGACTCTGCAATGAATCGGGTTTAAACTCTGAGAAAAGAGACGCCTACCTCCTCTGCCACGGAATCCCTGTAGTATCTCAGGCTCTGATCCGTCAGCACAAACCAGTGTTTCTTCCACTAGGAAACAAACAAGGCAGGCCCTTTAACAAGCTGTTCCTTTCCCACGCCTGAGGCGGCTGCGGTATCACCTCACAGCTCACCAAGGTAAAGGTAGACCAGTTGACCATCCGCTTTGTTGTATAAACAGCTGGGCAGGCTGCAATTACCAACTCTGTGCTCTGGGGGGGTACTCAAGCTCTCCCAGCTGAAAGCCAGTAGAAAGATCAATGAGAGGGAAAGGGATGCTGAGGTGAGTCAAGCATGTGACTTCCACCTATAGGATCCTCTCCTGTCTGAGCAGGGACGTTTGTTGAGCAAACAGTCTGAGCTGCAAAGGCTCCATCACTCAATGATAACACGGGGCCATGACCAGAAAAGTCATCACAAATATGCTACCTTTGGACCTTCAGAGTCCTACCCTTGCAGTTTACTGACAAGACACCGTGTTTAATGGCTGTATTCTTAGGCTCGGAAGGACGTGTTCTTTATGATTTATGAACTTGGACAGATAACATTCCTGTTTATTTCTGGAGTGTATAGGAACTGGGTGTTTTCCTTTAAAGAGTTTGTTTGTGACCCCTCCAGTGGTGTTCCCTGTCTGTTTCAGAGGCCCCCACAATCCTGCTAGAGCAGCAGTGTGTCTATGTAGCTAGGCCTTGCATTTTGCATGTAGTTAGTATCACAGTTATTTGGATCCCACCCACTGTGTTTGCAAGGGTCCTTCATATTACAGCTATTGTGTTAAGAGCAAAAAAAAAAAAATCAATCACAATAATTTCCAAATATTTCCCCCTTGTTTTTGTCAATTTAAAGTACTGAACTATTACTATTATTTATATTACTTTACCGCTTAGGAGCCCTCGTCATGGACCATGGGCCCCACTGCATTAGATACTTCACAAAGCTTGAACAAAAGGACTGATCCAAAGAGCTTACAATTTACATAAGAACGGTCGTACTAGGTCAGACCAATGGTCCAGCTAGCCCAGTCTCCTGTCTTCCAGCAGTGGCCAATGCCAGGTGCCCCAGAGGGAATGAACAGAAGAGCGCAATTTATCAAGTGGTCCATCCCCTGTCATCCAGTCCCAGCTTCTAACAGTAACACAAAAATGGCCATACTGGGTCAGACCAGTGGTCTCTGAGACAAGAGACAATGGATGGATACAGACAGGCGTTTCTTTCAGAACTCGCATCCTAGCACTTCCTTCAAAATGTTGTAGCTAAAAATCACTGTTTAATAACCATATTAATTGCCTTGACTTGCTGCCAGGGAGATTTCAGTTCTCCCATCCAAGAGAACCAGATCAAACAGTTCTATGCTTTCCCTTGTAAGTGTTGCCTCTCAGTTACATGCACTTGTGTTTCCAGCCCTGTTTGGCTGGAAAGAGACATTTCCTGATGAGAACCGAACCCTGCCAAACCTGAATCTCTTATCTCAATTTGTAGTCCCCCCCCAAAAGAGCTGACCAAGTTATGATTCCAGTCTGTAGTGCTGGGGATTGATAGACAGGGCAGAGCTTGGATCTTCACCCAGCAGGCCGAGCTGCAGTGGTGGCAGGCAGGAGAGCACTGCTAAACCAAATGCACTGGGTGCGCAGAAAAGCAAGGCACAAACATGATGTCATTTTTACAGTCAGTCGCTCTCCTGATGGTAGCGGCACTTTGAGCAGAGGATGGACTCCCCACCAATTCCCCAAGCTTCAGAATCTGTAGCCTAGCCCCAACTTATGCAGTCCACCTCACCCCCTCCCGCACTACCTCCTCAAACAGATCGGGGGGAAGCAGGGGGAAGACCTGGGGAAAATCAAGGGAGGGGATTATTTATAAATAGTAACATGAGCTCAATCACAGCCCAGTATCAGCTGCCAGCCTTTAAGACTGTGGGAGCTGAGCACTTAACCACAACCCCTCAGGGAGGGAAGGAGAGGGAGGTGGGAAGCTGGTGCTTCCATTAGTGCCTTAATGGAGACATTTTGATTTCATCTAATTGCTCTCTCTCATTGTTCCCATGGTTCTGAGGGTGCCTGTTCTGCACCGGATTACTGATGCTGAAGAGGTGGCTGTGGCCACAAGGGAGATGAGGCCAAGAGAACCAATGCTACAGCCCACACTGACCTCGACTCCCTAGAAACCTGTTAAATGACATTCAGATGCAGGGGCCTGAATCCTCTGTGATGCAGAATGCCAGCCAGTCCTGCCCCGGGTAGACCCTGCTCGCGTGGTGATGGTGAGGAGATAGGCAGAGCTCACATAGCAATGGCTGCCTGGCCTGAGCCAGGCTCTAGATTTGACCGAGTTCTCCCTGCACACCGGTCTGCCAAGATGCCTCCATCTGGTTTCCCCAAGGTGTAAAACAGGGCTAATACAGATCTACCCTTGCATTTGTTACTGTGGGAAGGTGGAAAGTGCTATATAAATGCTGAGCACTGCACATGAAGCATATAAGGAGCCCTATGTGTGTGTGTGTCACACACACACACACACACTCTCTCTCTCTCTCTCTCTCTCTTCTCCCTTATTAATCCGTTCAGGCCCTCATAGTTCTACAGCAAGGTAGGAAGCCCTGGAAATGCAGCTTCTGGTGTCAGCAGTCAGGGTTGAAAGCCTTTTGAGTTCATCGTTAACGAAGAATCTATCCTGCCCACACATGAGCAGTCACACAGCTGCACCCCCTGGGCCATTTATTTGGATTCTGCGTATAGCCACAACGCCATGGGCAGAAATGCAGATAGACAACTGCACCAAGCCACAAGGAAAAGGGACAGTCCTCTCCCCAGGGATGCCATGTTACAGGTGGGCTAATGCGTGGTTACATACGAATGCTGACTGACCACAGCATCCAAGACGGTGGCTGAGAAAGAGCATGTCCCACTAGACTTACCTGCCCATCCTCGTATTGCTTCGTCAGCCATCCCTTCTTGAAGTTCAGCAGGTCCGGCTGCAAGGAGAGGAAAGAAAAGGTGACATTTAGAGCTTTTCGAGGATTCAGATGAAGCGCCGGCTTCCAACTCTACCACGGAGAAATCCCACAGCAGTGATTTATACCATATAATTAAGGCTATGATTTTGTCATGGACAGGTCACGCGTAATAAACAAAAATTCACAAAAGCCGTGACCTGTCCCTGACTTTTACTGAAAATGTTCATGCCAAAATGGGAGGGAGGAGGGTCCACCACCCTGCCCTGCTGTGGCTGGGAGCTGCGGCCCCTGCCCACTGGCTGGGAGCTGCTGCGGCTGGGGAGATGCGGGGAATTCTCCCCCAGGCTGGGGAGCTGCAAGGGTTCCCCTGCTGCCTGCTCTGGGGGTCCCTTGGACCCACGGGGGACTAGGGAGCTCCGGGGGATCTCCCCGCCCATGGGGGATTCTGCCCCCCTACCCCATGGCGACTGGGATTCCCTCCCAGGCTGGGGAGGTCCAGAGGGAGCAACAGCAGGGAACGCTGGCATAGGCAAGGCTGCTGACTTTTTAACCTGTCTAGATGTGAAGAAAAAGGCTTCTGCAAACAAGGCCTTGATGTTTCAGCGATTAGGTATCACCTGGGCGGCCACTGTCATGCAGAAGGTATTTTGCAGGGGAACACACGTGCCCTGCTGCCATTTCTTACAGAGTCCCCTTCATAAGAAAGAAGGGCTAGTAAGAAGAGAGGTAAGGAAAAGCTGTCAAGTTCCCAAGATGCCTAGCTGGAGAAGCGATTCTCTGGTCCACACTTGCTCAGACATACAGCAGCACAAGGAGCCACTGACTAGCCAGGTGTTTTAATGGTGACTGCAGAGCTGTCCTACTTTCTCCTCCAAGGCACCCAAAGTGTACAAAACTGAGTGCAGCAGTGGCTGGACAGGGAGGAGTCATCAAAACAGAGAGCAAAAAATAAGCCAAGGAAACTGGCCTGCGGGGGAGCATCAGATGTGAGACAGATGGAAATTCTTCATCTCTCGGGGGGAAAGCAAGCAGATAGGAGGTCTCCAAATGGAGACTAGTTGGGCAAAGCTCAACATCGTCACGGCTGTTGACCAGCTAGCGGGGTCCAATCAGGCTTTGGTTTCAGGGTTTGCAACCCAATCAGATAAAGTTTTTAAGGCCCGGCTTGACAAAGCCCTGGCTGGGATGATTTAGTTGGGGTTGGTCCTGCTTTGAGCAGGGGGTTGGACTAGATGACCTCCTGAGGTCCCTTCCAACCCTGATCTTCTCTGATTCTAAAGTTCCCCTAAGCAAGAAAACAGCCCCCATGGCTAGAAGAGCAGGAGCCGGGTGCCTCCTGCTCAAGGATTCTTTGGACTTTTGCCATTTAAGTGTAAAGAGAGGGTTGGGGAGGTGGCTATGCTAGTCCTTGCGCTGGCTGGGTAGGCAGAGATTGGAGGCAAGGGTGAGGTTCAGCAAAGTGCAAGGTTCCCCGACAGCAGCTGCACACAGCCAGCAGAAACCTGCTCAAGAAGTTCCACTTCCACCCCCTCCCGTCACCCAAGATCCAGGTTTTGCTTCATGCTGGCCAGACCCCATACGATTAGTCTATGCTACTGGAGCAGGAAGACAAATTGGGGGGGAAACGAGGGGAGAGAAGGTGCCACCAACATGGAGTCCAGCCTATTTATCCAGAACATCTTGTTGGGTTTCTCCATTGTTTCACACCAAAGCGGTGCCAGCTGCGGTCCCTGATATGCCCCATGGGGGCAGGGAGAGGCAGAGCATCGCCTCCCTCGTGCATACCAGAGTACCATATTATTGCTCAACTCCAGGCATTGCACATGAGACCTGGGGAGCGACATCCATGACTCCGCCGCTTTCGCTGAGGTGACGGGGAAGGAGATTTTTCTCCAAAGCAAGGCAGGTTCTAAGGGCCCTGCCCCCCACCCAATTAGCTCTTAGGTACCAAACCCTGGAGTCTGCTGGCACAATCAGAAAGCCTGGGCCTACCTTATCCTTGTGGCTCTTCATTAGTCTCCCATCCACAAAGCCTCCTTGCCCTCACTCCTTGCCTCTATTTATAAACTCTGCCCGGCATGGCTGGCAGCTGGCAATCACGTGGTACAGTGCGTATCAACATAAGGCCGAGTTCCTATTTACGAGGCTGTGAAATACCCTAGAGGTTTGTATGAAGGGAGTACCAGCATCTCATAACCCCATATGGAACCCTGGTCAGATTTCCTTATAAGTGGATTTAACAGTAGGCTGTGGCTAAAAGAACAGCCTTTAACTCTGAAGAGGGGACTTTTCCACACAGGGGTGAGCTGAAAGTTTCTTATTTCGCATCCTGTTTATTGCATATTAATGTAGGTGGTGGAAATATTCTCCCTCCCTCGCTGAGCAGCTCCTCCTTCAGCTTCAGCCTGCAGGCAAGCTATAATCCTGTTTTTAGGACATCACAACCTGTTGTCATGAAAGTGACGGATGCCAAGCATTGCGGCTTTGAAACCTCACAGCAGGATCTAGTCCGAGGAGCAGCTGGGAGTGGAGGAGGAGAAGGAGAAGAAGGAGAGAAGCCAGGTTTAAATGAACGAGCACAAATCTATTGGCAATGGCAAAGGAAGCCGTGAACACAGGGGAAAGGAAATCTAAACAGAAATCTATTAAATCCAGTTTGTCCCAAGTGAGAGTGTCCTTAAGGGGAAAGGTGCTCGGTTCAGCATCACAGAGCCCAGGGGAATAATACCCGAACACTGCTCCAGAAACACTACAGAATCCAAGGAGGAGACAGGAAAGAGATTCACCAATGGCCAAGACCACCCTGCATTTGCAATAGCATGACCAGGTGGGATACGCCCACTGGCCCCTAACAGATAATACCTGTTGAAAAGGCACCTTGAATGCTGCATGGATTTGGCACAGGTAAGAGACACTGTTGAGTATCCAGAGCTTCCAGAAACCAAGCTCACTAAGCTATGAGAGCTGCAGCATCTTTATTTTAGGATTTGTTAAGCTAATGAAAGAGCGAATTCCCTTGTGAGAGGAGGAGATGCTCTGATCAGACCACCAGTGGTCCTGGAGAGCCACAGTCTAGAGAGGAGAGCTTCATGGTCACCCATAGGGAGTTGAGGAGAGCTCGCTACTGCTACGAAGAAACTGTACTTTGGATCCACGTTCATTTGTTCCCAACCAAGCACTTTGCAAAGGAAAGCAGAACTAGTGAAGATGTTACAGACTTTCAAGGGCCGAATACTTACTTGCTGAAAAAAAAATTGTAAGGGAAGGGGCAGGGTCATTGTTACAGAAAAATTCTGGGAGGGGCAAAGTTCTGAACGCTGTGTGTGATTATATTATATCCGGCAATGTTGGGTGGACCATACAAAGCTATGAAAAGTCTGGGGCTGGGGGGGGCGGCAATTGCCCCCCCCCCTTGCACCGTAGCAAATGACACCCCTGGGGAAGAATCTTCTATTAAAGTAGGGTAAGATCAGCAAACCTTCGAAGTCTACTAGAGCTCTTACTTTAAGCTTAGTGAAGCGAAGGATTTAAAAGCCACGGTAGCAAGACGCATGCTAAAAATAGCAGCATGGGTATTGTGGCCTGGGCAGAACAGCTCAGGTTAGCCACCCGAGCTCAGACCCAGGGGGTTGGGTGGGCTGATTCCCGCAGCCAGCCTGAGCTGCCGCCTGTGTCATAATGCTGCTAAAGGTTAGCATGCCAGTTTGAGCAGAGCTAATGTGCGTCTGTCTCCCCAGGCTAGGAGGCTCACTCCCAGCTGCAGGGTAGACATACCCTTAGGCAAATCGGTCACTGCACCCAGTGTTTGCTGCATGCCATGCACAGACATGTGTGTGTGGGTGGGGGGGGGGGTCAGTGCCTTTGTACAAAGAACTAGAGCCAGACGCTGGAACTAACAACTTGGTTGAACTAGAAGGCCCATGATGACCAGGTCAAATAGAGGGATGCACACAGACTGGGGGACAAAGGGACAGACGGAACATGGACCTAAGAGGCAGGGCCGGCTTTAGGAAGTGCGGGGCCCGATTCGAACAGTTTCGACGGGGCCCCAGCAGGGATGACTAAAAAAAAAAACCACATAAAAAAAACACGTGGGGCTTGTACTTATCGGGCGGCGCTCCTAGTCTTTGGGTCTTTCACTCGCTCTGGGTCTTCAGCGGCACCGAAGGACCTGCTGCCGAAGTGCCGCCGAAGACCTGGAGCGCTGCCGGGTGAGTAAAAATTAAAAAGGAGCCTCTAGCCAGGGAAGGGATTCTCGGCTACTTCTTTCTCCTCTCCCCTCCCCTCCGGCGGCCCTGCCACTGGGCGCGGGGCCCTCTTAGGCACGGGGCCCGATTCGGGGGAATTGGTGGAATTGGCCTAAAGCCGGCCCTGCTAAGAGGGACCCAAGTGACTCGACCCCAGTGCCTCATCCACACATGAATGATCCGCCACAAACCAAAGAAACCCTGACAACAAAGGTGAAGTGGGTGAATGCAACTCTTAGCCTGTGTCTGAGAAGAAAGACTTGCCTGATAATAAATGTCCCAGTCCCATAGGACTAGCCAAGTCTTCAGGGGAAACTTGGAATCACAAAGTTATAAAAGAGGGGAAGAAATAAACCAGTGAGTGAATGAGGTTGGTAACAGAATTGTTCAACTTCTGTTACTTTAACAGCAGGAGTTGCAAAATAAAGGGATAAGTGGTGCAGGAAACAGTGCATATCCTGTTATTTGGACTATGCAATTCCTTGCCTTAACTAAATGGTTAACACAAAGTCACGCTTCTTGAATTGCGCAAATACTAAGTAACTTGGGAACAGTGCTAACGGTATAAAAATAAAGAGTTTTTGTAGATGTACGAATCCTACAGTAAAAACTGATCTATAAATGCAATGCTTTGTGTGTGAGCGCATGCTGGGTGGGCGTGCGTGTCTGTACACAAAGCTCGAACAAAAGCTGTTTGCAGACAAACATGTAGCACTTATTTATAATGGGTCAGGGGTCTTATGCACAGAGCAGCATGCACATTTATACCACCCACTAGCATACAACACTGAGTAGGTGGGAGGAAAGCACTGCTTGAAGTTGTCTCATTTTGTTCTGCTAACCTTGTTTAAGTCTGGTTGGCATTTGAATCACAGAGAAATACAAAGCCTTACCGAAATTCTGTGTTGCAAAAATCATTATTTCTAAAACTGTGCTGTACTCACATTGGTAAATAAAGACCTTTGTTGTCAAGAAATGCAGGCCTGCGAAGCGACGTTAAACATAAGGGGGTTGTGTTATTGCACAGCAAAATAGAAGGAACAGAACTTCGTTCTGGGGAAGCTTTGTGTATTACTGCCCATCTTTAACATTGTTGGTTGCAAGTGGAAGGAAGCTACGGATTTCAGTTTCCAAACTTTCCTCTCAAGCTTTCTTCCACTGATGTCTACTTTGCATAAATACACAACGTAACGCTTTTAAGAACACTTCCGTGTTCATTTGTTAATTTTTCTTAATACACCAAGTCTGAAGGGTTGTTATCTGACTGCATGGGAGTAGTGAACTTGCAATTGATCGGATTCTGGAGCACTAAATGGGACCCAGGAAATTGTATTAACCTGCTGAAATGGTCTGATGTAGAGTAAGCCACCTCAGGTGGGAATGACACAGTATGTGAGAACAGAAGAAGGGAGTGTTCCTTTCTGGTAATGGTTGGGTTGATTTGTCACTTTAAGCACATGGCACCTGTATGGCAAACCATAACACTCAGGTAACTGACTATTACACAGAAAAATTGTTTGCCAAATAGGGACATGAGGAGCCAGTTTCCAAATCAGCTCTTGCTCTTAGGAAAACGAACCCCTCCTCCAGGTCTCTGCCTCTCCACTGCCCTGGCAGGGGGATGGACTAGATAAATTACAGGATTTCTCTTTTCCAGGTCTAGCTTCTAACATACTCCGGGTCAAATTCAGATTGGGTTCGAGTCAATGGAATTGCAGCTGTTTACACCAGATCTGAATTGGCCCCAAGTCCACCGTGGAGGTTGACAGCAATGGCAGAGGAGCTCTCACAAGGCTAACATCTGAAAGAGACGTAGCATTTCCATTCACACCAAGAACACCGTGCCAATGCCTTCATTCCCACATGCCAGTATTGAATGAAAAAACCTTTTGGGCTCACCGTCATGGAGGACTCAGTGGACCTTCTATCCAGTGATTTTGCTCTACGGTGTGGAGACAAAGGGGAAGCTGAGACTTCCAGGATGGATCCTACTGCTGCAGTTTCAGAGGTGAAGTCCTGAAAACAGAATTAGCCCAGATTACCACAACATTAACCCAAAACAGGAACTCCCATCTCTCACAACGTCAAAGACCCAGTGGTGTACATTTCTTAGACTCCACAATTCAAATTAATGAGCTCACACCATAGTTTTCTTCATGTGCTTCTAGAAGCACATGGCTCTTCTGGACACAGAGTCCGAGGCATTAGACTGGCGCCAGGACATCTAAACTCACTTTAGGCTACAGGATTTTCAAGATCACATACTTCTATTAGTTAATTTCTTTTTATTAATACTTCATGTCATCTGCTGTGTTTTTTCCATGCCAGATCTGATGTCTCCCTTTCCTATCCCGGAGGGAGGGAGAGAGAAAGGTGATTTGTCTTCTGCTCTGATCCCACCAGCAAAGCAAGGAGACGGGGCAGTGAGTGGCAAATCTGCACTGCTCACTCATGCTCGAGGCCTGCCCGCTGTGCTCCATGCACCCCCTTTCCCAAGACCTCTAGATTCTGTGCTCCATGCACAGAGATTTGCCAGTGAGGACCTGCAGCCAAGGACAACCCTAGCTGTACTAGGGAGAGCACTAAATATGAGCTGCCAGCCAACACCACATCCTCCAAGAACATAGGCAGGTGCCTTCATCCTACCTCAGAGAGAAACGAAAGGCTTACCCGTTTCCTGGGGAAAACCCTCTTCTCGCTCCTGCCCTGACGTGTCTCGCTGGAAAGGGAGGGGCCTGCGGACGCATTGGTTTCCATATGCTCTGCATTCTCTATATCTAATGCCTCAAATTTTTCAATTACCTGGGACCGCCTGGAACAAAGAGAGAGAGGAAACCGGTGCCCGTTTAACGCAAGAGCAGCGATTGTTTTGTGAGTCACTACAGAATCCCATATAGCAAGAGGCTCTCCCAGGGTAGCGGCAACAAGGGTTACATCCTACAGAACTCTGCAAAACTGCTCCTCTCAAAGCCTGTGCATTCGTGCCTTTTTGTTCAATTTCCCCCTGCATGCTGGAAAACATGGGGGATTCAGAACAAAGAACAGGTCTCAACTAGACAGGCAGGACTTTACCTGCAGGCTCTGAAGCCATAAGAAAAGATTACAGAATGCTTGACTTCCAGCCAAGGAGAACTAACTGCTTGTGTCAGGGTGAACTCTTTGCTGGTCATGTACTACAGAAAAGGTGCTCTTCTGGTCTCTGGTACACACTCAGCCAGAGGTAGCAGATTTCATATGGACAGTCTGACCTTTCACAGCTTCTGAGCTCCGAGTATGTTCCACCTCCATACGGTTATTTTTAATATTATTAGTAGGGTCTGTTTGTCCTTCTTCTCCACCCCCTTCTGTTTGCACATGATTTAATGCAACAGGGTCTCAATGATCTCCTCCCCAATTCACACATTCCCTGCCCCAGCACATTGTTTTCAAGATTAAAAACATTTTCTAAACCAGCAATAACTATTTTTCCCAATGAGTCTTCTCCAATCATTTCAGCACCACAAAGACTATTCAGCACTGTGGTTCTGTGTTTGGCCCTTCACTCTCCAACTCTGTAACGAACCAACGAGTAGACCAGGGTTGTACTGAGAACGTTTACAGATGTAGAGAGGAGCATTCTCAGAGTGCAAAGGAAAAAGGATAGGTTCTGGTAGCCCCAATATAAACGGTAGGGCCCTGACCCTGCAAAGATTCACCCACATGCTTAATGCTATGCCCTGTGAGTAATCACATAGACTTTTAGGAGGACTATTCACAATGCATACATTAAGTGCATGTGTACACTTTTGTAGGATTAGTGCATTGGTCAGCAGAGTATGCTCCTGTCCTTGTCTACAAACATTAAAAGCTATTACTGTAGTAACATGGCACACTTGCCATTTCAAAAGGGTGTGGCGTCCTCTTTATCTAAACCACTCTGCATATCCTGTATGGAAGGAGGTTATTTGCTGCAGCACCGACCAATCACCAACTGCAGTACTAAGCAGCAGGGCCTCTCATACAAGACATTGGTCACCCCTTGCTCTAATAGCAGCATTGGTGTCTCTGCTGAGAGGGGACAACTCATTATATATAAGGGATGGGCAAGGAACCAACCCAAAACATCTCCCTAAGCCCACACCACAAGCCTTCTTAGGTTGGGAAAACTGCCCACTTTTGTAGCTGGGATCAGAAGCACTCTAGTATGTCATGAAAGGTTATTCTGCCCAACCCCATAACAGGAACTACTGGAATTCTCAAAGAGGCCTGGTAGGGAGAGATTTTTTAGAACAATTTTGCACAACTAAGAGGTTCAGATAAGAATCAATCTTTGGGCTTTTTCTGAGTCTAGGAACCGTTTTAGAGATTCACCCAATCACTAGCATATGCAACAGAGGAGCCCGAGCTGCAAAATTTGGACCCTGATTTTGAACCCTGCTAAAAGTTCAATGCACTGGAAAGATGGGGCCTCGTCACAATATCTGGATCCAAATTGGGCTTAAATTCTTAATCACAAGGCTTAGGAGCGTTGGAATCTGAGTTTAGCTCATGTTCATCTCCAACATATGTAATAAAAAACAAACAAATGCATCATCAAACAGCAGCCAATTCAGGAGAAACAAGTTGTTTAGTTACCAACAATTATTTTCGATTCTTCTCTTAAAAGGGAAATTGTGAGGTCAGTTAGGGTTTTACAAGTTTTTACCAAATTTCATAAAGTAAAATATGGCTTGAACATAAGCATTCTCTTGCTGTGTTTGCAATCCAAACAATGCAGCACAGAACTAGACCATATGAACCAGACAGTGAAATCAACTAGAAACAAGAATTTACTAGGTCTGCATTCACTGGAAAAGATAAAGAAAGTGCAAAACGTAGACAACATCAGTAAGGACAGTCTGATCCTTTTAAATCAATCAGATTTTAGAAATAGCTCACTCCATTTTAACCATCTAAGGCCCCAATCCTGAAAGCTGCAGGATGGAACCCTGCGCCCTTGTAGAGACTAATTAAAGCCTCACATAGGTGCAGAGGTACACTCATACAATGCAGTCTGCAGGATTGGGGCCTAAGTCTTTAGTAAAACAGGTAAGGGGAATTTCTTTGCATACATGATTTTTAACCCAACAGTGCCCCTTTCACCAGCCCAGCCTTCTCTCTCGGACTCGGTTTAGCATGGAATAAGAGACCCATGAATTAACACTGTCTCTTCCCTTTCAGGTGAAGTTCTGAAGAAAATTAAAAACAAAACCAAAAAACCAAAATCAAAAGCAGGTTGATTTCTCATGAAAGAGGCTGCACCATCGAGTTGTCTACGGCTTGAGATTGAGATGAGATGGTAGCGAAGCAGGCGGAGTAAAGGACACGTCACACAGCAACACAGGAGGAGAAGGTGGAGAGCAACAAGACCTGGAAGAAAACAAGGCTGGAAAATGAATGAACAGAAGAGGAAATATATATCTATATATCTCTATATAAATAAATAAAAGCAAAATCACCCCAAGAATTCATTACCAAAAAAGGGGGGGGGGGAGGGGGAAATCATAGCAACCAAATCACAGCACCCAGTGTTATAATCATTAGATTGTTCCCTCCATTGGTTAAACATTTCAAGACAGGTGTTGCTGTGGCTGACAAAGACACGGTGAGTGTGTGAGAGAGCTGAGATTAATCCATTCTCTGTTCATCCCATGCTGATGACAGCTACACATGGGCACCTGAGAGAGAACCTGCCCCAAACTTCAAAGAAGGTATGAAGTATTTAAAGAGATGTGGTGTCATTCAGTACTCTCTCAACTCTTAAGCTTGCCCTAGGGAGCTCATCCTCCATGCACGCTATTAATCTGCTCCAGGCCACTGAACACAAGCTACAGAATTGAGTTAAAGTGAAAGTAAAGGGGGCGCTACAAAGGCTGACAACAAAATCTGTAATTAAAATGATTTTCTTTGATGGGAAAGAGTTTTGTTGTATTCATTTATTATTTAGCTGCAAGAGAGATTGTGAGAGTGTTTCAGAGAGACAGGAAAGGGAATTACCCCAAGGGATGCACAACATTAGAGGATTGTTACAAAGAAAAAAAATAAATAAAATGAAAGGAAGGAGTGAGTAACCTCTGTTTACAAAGCGAAGATGTATGCATTGGGGTTGCAGGGGATGACACTCACTTCTAAGACTCAAAGACACAGAGAAGGTGTTTGAAAGAAATCCATCAGTACAATTTGTCTGCAATTTCAGGGCAGTTCTGTGACTTATTGAAAAGAGGGAGAAATATTTCAGCAAACATCTAACTAGGATTCCATAGCAGGTCCCAATTCCTGTCATCAGAGGAGGGTAGAATTTAGGACACTGGGCATGTCTACACTACAAACTTAAGCCGATCTATGTCTGGTCAACTGTGGTGGTTCATGTCCACACTACTGCCGGTGGTGCACATTCTCATCAGGAGCGCTTCCACCGATTTAAGAGGGGCGGTGTGGGGGGCCGAGAGCCCGAGCTCTCAGCTCCACATGCAGCTCCCCACCAGGAGCCAGGCTGACCCCCTGGGCTCTCGGCTCCCTGCTCTGCGCTTGAAGCCTGGGAGCTACCGGGTTCCCAGCAGGGAGCCGTGACCTTTGGTGCAGCTGGGGAGCCCAGTCGGCAGCCCGGCTGGGAGCAGAGAGCCCCCACCGATCCCCAGGTGACAGTCTGAGCTGTGAGCCAGGCTTTCTTGTCAATTTCACACTCCAGCAGGGAGCCATGAAATTGAAAAGAATGACAGCCAACAGATGATGTAAGTAACCCAATGTGTCTACAGGGACACTGCATTACCCTAAATACACCGACATAAGCCCTGCGCCTCTCGTGAAGGTTGGAGTTATTATGTCAGTGTAGTACGGCACTTACATTGTTGGGAGCAAGGCTGTAGTGTGGACACTGACATAATTAGTTTAACGTAAGTGCCTTACGTCAGCCTAAGTCTGTACTGTAGACCAGGCCTCAGTAAGAAGAATCTCCTTTAAAACCCTGAAGGTTAAAAGCAAGCATGGGCAAACACCAATCAGAGGGCCTCAAAGCTCCACAGAGATCAGCACTGAGAGTAGCAGTGGAATGTGCTATCATTACTAACATGACACGCACTATACAGAGAGTGAATGCCACATGAAATTTCCAGCTACAAGCAGTGCCCACATCACGGTTTCAGAGGATACTGTGGTAACCAAAGGAGCAGAGCTTGTGTGGTTAGTCATCACATCAGAATTCCAGTTACCTTTAAGCCTTCTCTCACTAGATGGCAGTAAGATTTTTGCTATATCAAGAATTGCCCATGGTAAATCCTGTATCTGTAGTCAAGCCCCTACAGGAGCACCTCATCCAGGGCATAAATTAAGATATTACCACCTGGAGCTGGTCATGTTCCCTCTCTAGGCTCCTTGCTTGGTGTCAGTAAGGGCACAGGCTGAAATAAATAAGGAAGTTCGGGAGGCAATGTGGGTAAGGGTCATTTCCTTTCTCCAGCTGGTTAAACAGCTTCCAAAGAGCTTGTAAAACAGATTGTATTTGAGGGAGTAGGGGGTGATGGACTGCATGTGTCATTTACGGGGAGATGCCTTAGGAACCATCACACAAAAGTTGTCCAGGGAGCTGTCAGGTGGTGGAACAGCAAGGCTTGAAGAATCCGTGGCAGCTGGGAATAGGGAACAGGCATAACTGGGTGGAACACCAAGGCCTGAGGGCTCTGGGGCAGCTGAGGAGAGGTGTTGGGCAGAACACCGCAGGTCTGAGGGTTCCATAGCGGAGGGGAAGGGGGTCATCTGGCAGAGCTCCCTGGGCCTGAGGGCTCAGTGACAGTTGAG